GTTATGTTTAGCTATTGTTGTTACAGAGATTCGCTTCCTGTTAATAAACTCTCAGTGGAATAGCAGTATAGTAAACCAGTTTATATTTCGTTGCTCATTTTATTAAAAAAATGGCACAAGCCCAGACAGTTCTACCTTTAAAAATTTTACAGTTTAAAGTGGCATGCCCCCAGAATTGTGCTTATTTTCATGAAAAGTTTGAAAATTTAAACGTTTTGTCTAGTGAACAAAGAAAGTATTTTACATATTTTAAATGGCACTTTCCCTCCATATAAATTACCAAATAAATATCAAAATATGCAAAGAATTGCATTTACAGCATTAGTCATGCACTAGAAATATGGTGATAAATACTGAAAAATCAGTCATTTATTGCATATAATATGCAAATCATTACTTAAATTGTGAATAATTTTACTTTTCTTAGTAGATTTTTCTCTAATTTGATTTTCTTGAAATTTTTGGCTCATCTGGATGTATGCAGCTTTAAGAAAAACACTAAAATTTGAGTAGTGAACCAAATACACAGTTACTATGGTGTCTATATTTCGTACTGTGGGCTGGCCAAAACATCATGGCCTCACTTTAACATTGTAAACTAAGGAATATTGTGCGTTTTGAACTTAAATTTCTGTTGCAATATAACACATTACCATACTTTTTGTGAATATTTATCATTTTATGATACTTTTATTTTGCATGTTAATATTAAAAGTACATAATACTGCAGGTTGATTTCTTTAAAACAGGTAAATATTACCAGTCATGCCTCAACATGTGTTGTTTCATGATTAAAGAAGTTTATAGTGTTCTTACATTATTATCTTCTTGTGGTTTTCTTCTCTCTTTTTTACAAAGCAAAAATCACACAAGAGAGGAAAAAAACATGAATTATTTTCTTGGAACAGTTCACAGTAACAGACTGCGTTATATTTGTTTCATAGGGGAGAGATCAGTTATTGGCAGAAAGCAGAAACAATTGAATCAGTGGGAAGGATCTGAGAACAGATTAGCTGTGCTGGCTTCAAGACTTTCATTAATACTACTCATTTATTCTACTTTAATCTGATTTGCAGAACTTTTGTGCCTGGTCTGAGCCAATTTTTGTCTTAGTTTATGGCTCCATTTTGCCATTTATTATCCTTTAATTATCTGGTGTATTGGCTTCTGTGATTTGTTGACTTTGATGCCAAAGACCCATTAGAAGACTTCAGCTTTAAGATGAACCACCATAACAGAGAATTAATTTCTTTTTGCTTCTCTTTTAAAAAGTATCTTGATATGATAAATTAGCATATTTGTAGATTTAATTCTCCCTCATCAACCAGATATAATTATGTAGTCCTAGAATTGATAGTTATGGCATTTATGGCTGGCACTATATTAATGCTCAGAATCTTAAAGTGCAACTTGAATGTCTGACAGTGTCATGTTGAACTGTCAACGATTATACCCTTGTTGTGTCATAGCTATGCTTGAACTTACTTATTTTGATATTTGACAATTTGGTAAGCTTTATATTTATGTCTGTATTTCAATGCCAATATTATTTTTTTGTGTCATGTAAATTATTTAATCATTATCATAATGTAAAATGATTGGTTTTAAATTATTGAATTAATAACAAAGGTCATTGTGATTATGATATTACTTTTTTACAATCATTTTATAGGTGAATTGGCAAAAAAATATTTTTTTACTTGAGAAGGGATTGCTTTCATTTGATTTATTGAATATTGTTGGAACATTTTTGAATAAACTTAAATTTTATACACTTGCTGTCTGTACAGTACGTTTTTCTGTATCACATTTTTACATTCAATTGCTGCCAGTCATAACCATAAAATATATTTCCATATTGGATGCTGCAACATTCAATATATCAACATATATTAGACAGATTTGTGCATTATTATGATCTTTTCCAAGTAATGTTACATTAAATGTGTGGCTTTGTGAAAAAGAATCTGACTATTGTATGATTGATATATTAGGTAACATTCTGTATGTCCTCATTATGATTTAGATATACAATAAACAGGTTATTAAACATTGTACAGAGACAATATGGGATATAATTATTTGGACTCGAAATAACATAAGACTCGCCAGCAGGTCGTCCAATACGGTTTCTACAGCTGTATACTTGTAAAAGTATATTTCAGTATTGTACATTTCATTAAAACATAACCTATAATTATAGATCATGCGAAAAGTATTTTGTGTTTGTAATAAGACTGATAATTTCAATTCTTCAATTAAATAAGTTAAAAGTACACACAGATTTGTAAAAGTTGTTAAGAAATTGTGATGAAAAAAATTGATTTAGGTAAAAGTGATAATTCAAATAGCCTCATAAATATAGTAATTTATAAACATTTTTCTCTTTGCTCTGTTGATGATGCATTTCATAATAAAATATCATCCATCAAGTACAATTATTTAGTACACTGAATTGTATAAAATTTTGATATTTCGAGGGCAATAAAACGAGAAATGGGTTATAAACTTTTTGATATCTTAATTTTCCATATTTGAGATAGGTATTTATATTAAGAGTTGATAAAATATTGACAGAATGTACACGGCAGGTGTCATAAGACAGAAATATTTGAAGAAATATTCAGTGAAGGGCCATATAGGTAAAAGGTCCAGAAATTTATCTTTCGTGACATGATACATGTCAGTATGTTGAGTGTTCAACACACCTGAGTTAAAACAATCAGGCACTTGTCAGGTTTTATAATTTAATGGTATATATTTAATTTAATTGCAAAAAAATGTCAAGTTTCCTGTAAGTGTTCACTGAGTGATCATTCCTGTTGTCATGGTTTGACATGAAATTTCATGGACTAAGAAAAAAAACAGCTTGTGTCATCAGTCCAATTTGTCCTTAAAAAAATTCTAATATATTAGAGAGGTGTTGGCATTGCAGTGTTGTCAATGAACGAGTCTTCCACTAATTTAATTCCTTACTTAAGGTATCTAAGATAAAAAACAAGGCATAAAAATGGTAGGGAGAATTAAAGTTTGTGATAAATTAAGGCATTATATGGGGACAAATAAAAGTGTAAGTTTAAAAAACCCACCAGACAAGGACCTTTAACATAGTCAAAGATATGCCTCAACAAATGCAATAACTCTTCTTTGTTTGTCAATAAATAAAATTATCTTAACAGTTTTCTATGTACATTTAAATGTATATAATCATATCCGTACAATTTATGACTTCTTAAAAAACGAAAGTTTTACAATATTGATTGACAAACATTTGAGGGTGTTTTATGATCAAGCTGTGTTTGTTTTTTTCACATACTTCATCATGAAGCCTGTACTTACGTAGATAAGACATGGAGGGAAGACCTTCCAGGGGAGAACAGATCAAAACACAGCTTGATTTATTTGTTTCTTCATTAAAACCAAGTACACAGTGTAATGCCTTTGGTTTTAGGGACATGATAATTTTAAGTACAAAATAATCTTCATCTGGACTTGACTTTCAGGATTCAATATAAAATACAATGTCAAAATGCTTAACCACAATTTTGTATTTGATTGGTAAAAGAATTGTTGACCTGTGTAAGTGCAGTATTCTTATAGTATCATACTACTGCTAGTATGAAAAAAGGTCACCTTTGCTCTGTGAAATGATATTGATTATTTTCATATTTTAAAATCATGATATTGAATTGATGTACACTGTATGACACTAAGCTATCCCGTTGCACACCCACATTGATATGGTCTTACTACCATTGTCCAGCGCTTCCGTCTCATTTACCTTTTATACCAGCTTCACAATCTGCCCGTGAACACCTGAACGATCATGTGATCACCTGACCTCACTTGACCCGCACTCCTGACCTTTGATTGCTGACGAGTGCACTTTAATCCATTAAAAGGGAGATAATTAGAGGGCTGCTTAATTAGTTTAAAATGAGCATTACAATTATCTGGTTGTACATTTCGTGGCATTAACAGCTCTTGACATGTTCATACCATACATTTACCACTAAATTATTGCTTCTCTACAAATGTTCAACTACTCTTATTTGAGGTTGATATGTATAAACCTTGGTTTCTTCCTTATAAATGATATTTTACAAAGTTTGAAGGTATTTTCTTTACAATCAGTTGTTAAATTTTTATTGTTACTTGGTTGACTCATCTGAATGCGTTAATGTGGTTAAATAGAATGCATTTTTATATGATAACATCTTTATGACATTAAATAAATCTCAAAGATCTTGATATTATGAGGCAGTGTATTGTGCAGGTGGGCAATTTTACATAAAATTAAAAAAAACAACAACAAGCTTATTACAATAACAACCTTACAACACAAGTTTCCGCTATTTGATACCATAGAATGATAGTTTGTTGAATCCGTATGTGGTCCATCATTGTTGCCTTTGATGGCAGTTTGCATATCCAACTTAATAACTAATTTAGATGCATAATGACAGCACAAAACTCTTTCTATTGTTACTTTACTATGTTATCTTATATCAGTTTCAAAGTTTTTAAAATTAATTTACAAATTTACAAAATTCTTAAACACAAAATTGAGAATTATGGGTTGATGCATTTGAATATAAGTTTCAGACTGTGATTTTTTTCACCCTCATGATTGATGTTAAAGACATAATTATTGCACCTGTTGTGAATATATTATGATTCTGATTCAAATTGTAACCTCTATGTGAAACTAAAATTTCTTCATTCATTTGTTTATTTCCTTCTACACTTTCTTCCTACATTGACAATTTTGTATGTCACTCATGAATGTCACTCCTTAATATTCCATGACTTGGTTTCTATAGTTTATTTTGATAAACCTTGTGTCTTTGGTCACATGCACATTCCCTTTCCCATTCTAACATCAACTCGCAAATCAAGTCATGTTTCCATAAACTTTGTCAATTAATATTTCCTTGTTTGTTAGATCAAAGTTATTATTATATTCACTACTATAATATGTATATTATCTATGATTGCAGGTAAACGCTGTGGATCCTGACTGTGGTGTAAATGGTAACATTGTATATAGTATTCCTTCAACGTCAGTCACAGACCAGTTCATGATACAAGAGATTACCGGCAAGATCTGTCTCATCAAGGAGCTTGATCACGAGACGAGCGACCTATACGAGTTCTCTGTCATCGCAACAGATACTGGTGTGTATTTTATATATTACTTATAATGTGATGGACCTATGCCATTGGTATTAAATCAGCTGGCCAGTACACGGTCATTCAAACAGTCTGACCTAGCCTAGCTAGATTAATAATATCTGTCATATTTTGCGGTTTGGATCGGAATATCCCGAGGTGACCCGCTCATTGGCTTGCCGAGTTACCGCCCATGGGCGGGTGACCGAGGGACGGATATTCCCATCAGAACCGCAAACATGTCAGATATTTTTTCTTGCATATTCTACCATATTCCATTATATTTTAAATTCTTTATCTTTAATTTCAATGGAAATTTATATAATTACAACCGTAACTACTTTCTTACAACAGCGTATGAATTACAAATTCATTCATAACGGTAAAATGACGTCATCCTGAGCGTGCCATTGTACAGCACGCGACTCATCTGGCACCCCCTATGCCAGATGAAATTTCCGGCATGGGTAAAACTCACGGAAACGCCAGTCTGATATGCAAGAAACTGTTGTCTAATGAATATTATACTTAAATAAAAATGAAAATTCAAGAATTTAACATGGAATATGAGAAATAAGTCTGTAACATAAATTTTCAGATTAAAGGATAAACAAACAAAAAACCTCCAAAAGTCATATTAATGTAAGATTCAAATCTTAATTGCTATATTTACTATAAACCTAACAAATCATCAGAGATATTTTGATGCATTAAATTGTTTTTTTTTTGGTGAAATAGCTTTGGTTAATGACACCTATGAAGCCGTCACTTAAAACAAGTATAAGATATAATCCAATGAAAACACTGTGTGAGAGCCATCAAGCTGTTTTTTAAGTCAATTTTGGTAAAGTCGGGGATTAATTCCTACCTTAAATTGCGATGTTGAATGGTATTAAGGATCTTGCCATGCTGGCACACAGAAAGTTTGTAGTTATACCCAGATTACAAGTACATTACAAAATGATAAGAAGAGCCCTTTGGCAGTACTTATTGTTATGAAAATATAAGATGTCAAATTATCTGATTATTTGCAAATTGTTACAAGAAAATCTCGGCTTTGAGGATTTCTTCATCCAACTTATTCTGTCAATTATAAGGTGCATCTGCACTTGAATTACTGTACTAATATTTACATTAAAAAGCTTCAACTTTAAGGCTCCTCACAAAACTTTTGTATGTTCCATTATTGCATGCAGAAAGGTCTTGGTGTTAATAATTAAGTTTAAATAAGAAGACTTAAAAAGAATGTTATAGTGCAACAATATACTGTAGCAGGAATATTGCATCATTTTCAGGAAACTTTGCAACAACTGCTAACATACGAATAACAGTGCTGGACATCAATGACAATGTCCCCGTGTTTTACCCACGTAACTACAGTATGAACATACAGGACAGCTCACAGCCTGGATCCACTGTGATCACTGTACAGGCTAGTGATGACGACTCCGGACAATATGGTGAAGTCACCTACAGTATATTCTCAGGAAATTCAGAGGGAAAATTTCGAATTGATGCAGACTCAGGTATTTTTTAAGAAAATAGGTTAAATATCAAAATCTCTAAATTTAAAATAGAATTCAGGTACAAGCAGTACGAATTTTCAAAATAAAAAACAAATTGAATAAAGAGAATATGTATTGGTTATCATGAAAGTCAGAAAATTTCTATTTATTATCAAAGTCAACAATGAAAATGGAGATAAGGTCTTATTGATGCAGGTCACATGGACAGTACCTAGCTTTACTGGTTAAGGAAGATCTCAAAACATGATTACACCTCCCAATCTTTTGGATAGCTTTATAGCAATTAACAATTGATTATTATATGTATGATTATATACATATACATGTATATTATATATTTTTATTTCTTGTACAGGTACTATATTTGTGGCTAAAAGTTTACCGGCAGGTGAACGTGTTTATCGCCTGGTTATAGATGCACGGGACGGCGGTGGACAGAGTGCATTACAGCGTGCTGATGTATACATTAGTGTGACAGGACCAGGGTCTAATCCTCCAATATTTGAACAACGTGTGTACAGATTTACCATACTGGAAGATGTTAATTCAGATACATTTGTAGGAATTGTTCGGGCAAAGTATGCTGGAAGTTCTGATGGTATGTCGAATCTTTTTTCTTTATTTAAAAAAAATTAGCCGCGTCACGACAAAAACAACATAATGGGTTTGCGAACAGCATGGATCCTGATCAGACTGCGCGGATGCGCAGGCTGGTCTGGATCCATGCTGGTCGCAAACCCATTATGTTGGTTTTGTCGTGACACGGCTCAAATTATGTTGATTATTTTTAGTTACATATATTACAATAACATTAGTATGAACAGTTTAAAACAATAACTTAACATTTTACTTTTGAAAGAGAAACAGTACCCATTTAAATTGTGAACTAATAGTGAACCATATAACAATATGTTAAATTTATTTAAGCATTGTACTGCTAGGTAATGATATTATAACTTTATATTAGATCAAATATAAAAATTACAAATCTTGAAGTTAAACTTTTGATTTTTTTATATATATATATATATATATAAATTTGCATCATATTTTATTAGCATATTTTGTTATTACTTGCATCAAATGGCTATGACATAAACTTGCATCATTGTTACAGGTATAAGGTATACAATATCAACTGGAGATAGGAATGGCTTCTTTAGAATAGATCAAGATACAGGCAAAATTATCACAGCAAAGCCGTTAGACCATGATCAGCACCCTTTCCTTATCCTTGGTGTAACCGCGGACATTGGTAGCACACCTTTATTTGGAACCACACAGGTATATCAAAGTCTTTTATCTACTGTATCATCATTGGCCCTTTCTGTTTCTATACTTACAAGTGTATTCAATGTATATTTGTGCTACCTGCAGTTTACAAAATGTTTGTTTGAATTTTGAAAGAAGAAATTCAAAGATGCCTGTATAAAAGAAATATGTTGGTGTATTACTTTTTATATGCCCGAAAGAATTTCGGACATATTATGTTATACCGCCTGGCGTCCGTCCGTCCGTTCGTCCGTTAGCAATTTGGTTTCCGGAGCATAACTGAAGTTCCATTTGGCCCACAATATTCAAACTTCATAGGATGATTGTCCATATTGGGTAGAAGACCCCTATTGATTTTGGGGTCATAAGGTCAAAGGTCAAGGTCACTATGACCTTAAAACTGAAAACGTTAGCAATTTGGTTTCCGGAGCATAACTTAAGTTCCATTTGGCCCACAATATTCAAACTTCATAGGATGATTGTCCATATTGGGTAGAAGACCCCTATTGATTTTGGGGTCATAAGGTCAAAGGTCAAGGTCACTATGACCTTAAAACTGAAAACAGTTTTTGGAGCAACTTAAGTTCCATTTGGCCCACAGTGTTCAAACTTCATAGGATGATTGTCCATATTTGGTAGAAGACCCCTATTGATTTTGGGGTCACAAGGTCAAAGGTCAAGGTCACTATGACCTTAAAACTGAAAACAGTTTCCGGAGCATAACTTAAGTTCCATTTGTCCTACAGTGTTCAAACTTCATAGGATGATTGTCCATATTTGGTAGAAGACCCCTTTAGATTTTGGGGTCACAGGTCAAAGGTCAAGGTCACTATGACCTTAAAACTGAAAACAGTTTCTGGAGCATAACTTAAGTTCCATTTGGCCCACAGTGTTCAAACTTCATAGGATGATTGACGATATTGGGTAGAAGACCCCTATTGATTTTGGGGTCACAAGGTCAAAGGTCAAGGTCACTATTACCTTAGAACTGAAAACAGTTTCCGGAGCATAACTTAAGTTCTATTTGGCCCACAGTGTTCAAACTTCATAGGATGATTGTCCATATTGGGTAGAAGACCCCTATTGATTTTGGGGTCACAAGGTCAAAGGTCAAGGTCACTATTACTTAGAAATTGAAAACAGTTTCTTGAGCATAACTTTAGTTCCATTTAGCCCACAATATTCAAAAACTTCATAGTATGATTGTCCATATTGGATAAAAGACCCCTAATGATTTTGGGGTCACAAGGTCAAAGGTCAAGGTCACTTTTACCTTAGAATTGAAAACAGTTTCTGGGACATAACTTAAAGTTCCATTTGGACCACAATATTGAAACTTCAAAGGAGGATTGTTATTTGAAGGAGGTAATACTTTATTTTAGTCCCATGTCTTACAAATGCTTCATCTTTACTAAAAAAAAAAACACTTTCGGGCATATAATGCTCCGCCTAGCGGTGCTCTTGTTGAGCAAATGGCACATGCTAAATGGTTGAAAATCTACTTAAAATAGTAGCATGATATTTTGTTCTGGAAAATTTTTCATGTGTCTTAAACAAGATGAACATTCTACGTTGCAACTCATAAGAGCATCAAACATAAGATTTTGGAAATTGATAATTTCACCATTTTCAGATTTTGTAAAAAAAATCATCACCTTTAAATTGACCAACAAAAGGGGTACTAGCTACTAACTTGTGTAACAAAGTAATAGTGTATAGTTTTACCATTTGAGCAGAATTTAAGAAATAAATATCAGAGTTGTTCAAATATATTATTGAAATGTTTCAGGTGAATATAACAGTGACAGATGTGAATGATAATGTCCCACATTTTAGCAGTAGTCATGTGACTGTGTCCGTGTCAGAATTGATTGGTTCATCCGCCACTATCTACTCCGCGTACGCCTCTGACCTTGACAGTCGTGAGAATGGCAATGGAGAAGTACGATATTATTTGACCAGTAATAAAACATTCACTATTGACCCTACAAGTGGAGAAATTCACTTGGCACCAGGTGCCACATTGGATTATGAGGTGTCCACTCAGCATGAACTTATTATTATTGCCAGTGACCAAGGAATTTCTAAAAGATTAAGCTCCAGTATGACATTGCTTGTTAATATCCAGGATGCAAATGATAATCCTCCAGTATTCCAACAGGAATCGTTCACTTTTAGTTTGCTGGAATCAGCTGAAGTTGGCGATAAGTTTGGTCAGGTGTTTGCTCGTGATTTGGACAGTGGAGAAAATGGGAGAGTATCATTTAGTTTGATTGACTCAGAGTTCTCTTCAAAATTTAGGATATTTCCAAATGATGGATTTATTTACTTGAAAACTACAGTGGACAGAGAAGAGCGGGCAGAATATCATTTAAAAGTGAAAGCCAAGGATAATGGGCAGCCATCATTGTCAGCTACAGCTGATGTAACATTAATTATTGTAGATGCAAATGACAACGCCCCAGTATTTTCTCAAAGCGAGTATCATTTCAACATAGAGGAAAATCAACCATCAGGACAGTCTGTGGGTACAGTAAGAGCCACTGATGCCGATATCGGTATAAATGCAATTCTTCAATATGATTTTAGTTCTTCCCAAAATGATTTCTCAATATCTAATGACGGATTAATACGTACAACTCATTTCCTTGATAGAGAGTTTAAGAGTAGTTATGATATTGAAGTGATGGTGCAGGATGCAGGAGTACCACCACAGCAGACGAAAGTCAGGGTCAAGGTCACAGTGACAGATATAAACGATCATGATCCAGTGATACAGAATTCACAGTTTACAGGACAAGTGGATGAAAACCAGTCTAAAGGTCTTCGTGTCGTACAAATTCTTGCCCGAGACCCAGATTCTGGTGATAATGGCACCATCACATTTAGTCTTGCTAAAGGTCAGATATTTTTTGTATATAAATATGATAGTATATTAGTAAATTAACTCAAGAAATTTTCAAACAGAATCTTAAATGACAAATTTTCAGTTTTCCCCATTTATGAAACATTTTTGGGATTTGTAAATCCTTTTAAACATAACTTGTATTAATTTCTTATTGAGGAATTATTCTAAAAGGTAAAGTGATGTGTTGGATCTAATCATTTTGTTATTAATAGGTTAACATATTGATAAGAATATATATTTTGTTTACAGATGGGGATGGTAAAAAAGCTGAAGATGCATTGAAGTACTTCGATATTCATCCATTTTCGGGCTGGATCAAAACCAAGGAAGTTCTAGATTACGAAGTTGAAAACACCTACAGATTTCGAGTTATAGCCACAGACATGGGAAATCCTCCTCGGTCTGCATTTAAAACTTTCACCATCAAAGTCATTGATTTAAATGATGAAGGACCAATATTTTCACAAGCTGCAAATGTTACATTCTACGTTGTTGAAAATACCATGATTGGAACAACAGTTGGGAAAGTTGAAGCATACGATCGCGATGATGGAGAAAATGGCCGTGTTTCATATTATATCATCGCAGGAAATCATTTTGGACTTTTTGCTGTTGACAGAGAAACAGGTGCTATATACACTATTAGAGACATTGATTATGAGGAGTCATCCTCCCATGATGTTGGAATTAAAGCTATAGATAACAGTGTTTATAATCCAAAAAGTAGTAATATTACTATTAAAATACATGTCATTGACATTAACGATAATCCACCAGTGTTTGAACAAGACCCTGTCCTCCTAACAGTACGGGAAAATACACAAGTATCAACTGTCATACATAAATTCACAGCGACTGATGCGGATTCTGGGATTAATGGAACTGTCAAGTATAAGATTATTAACTCGTCTCAGGACATTAAATTATTTGAAATTGATCCATATTCCGGTAAAATGTCTATTGCAAGAACAATAGATTATGAACAAGTTAAAATGGTGACGTTGATAATTAAAGCGGTGGATCAAGCTCCTACAGTGGAGAGTCAGCTATTTACAACTTGGACTGTAGTAATACAGGTAACTGATGTCAATGATAACGCCCCACTTTTCCAGAGTTACAAGCCGATAGATGTGCGAGAGGATGAACCAATCGGATACAGAATGGCGTCTATCATTGCCACAGATGCTGATGGTAATGTCAACAAAAGTGGGAACAACCAGGTCACTTACTCAATCAAGACAGGAAATGTTGATAATGCCTTTAAAATAGATCAAACTTCAGGTACGGATAATATTTGTATAGTGATCTTGTAATATAATAATAATTCAATTTTAAATTAAATGTCTTTCAGTCCTGCTTATTTTAAGATGATAATGAAATAAAATATTGTCATTTGTTAATCTGTGTTACCACAAACATATTCAATGATATAATTATATGATATTCTATTTTGAAGTAAATGTAGATTAGTATAAAAATGCTGGATTAGATCTGAATTAGTGAGAAGTATACCTAGTCTGTTATGTTACCTAGTTTGTTATGTTAGATCAACATTTAACTTTTACTTTTCAAGGTGTCCTCACTGTTGCCTCCACACTTGATCGTGAATCTGTGAGTACCTACTCATTAAGAATCAATGCTCGTGATCACGGTTCACCATCCCTCGAGTCGGAGATCACGTTTGTTGTCCACATTACAGACGTGAACGATAACGCACCACAGTTTCAGAAACCTGTGTATCAGGCAAATATAACTGAGAATGCTGTAGCTGAAGCAGTTATTGCACGAGTGTCAGCTGTAGATGAAGATGAAGGTAAACAGGGCTTCCTTTAATGGAAGTTTGGCAGTCATTTACTCCTTGATTTTGGCTTGTGACTTCCAAAATGTAATACTTTTTCTCCTTTACCTATATAATGAGACTTCCAATATCAGAGATTTGACAGGCTCTGACTTCCAAAATTTGAAAGTTATAGACATTTAAACCTAGTCATGGAAACCTGATTGGTTATTTGTAAGCAAGTTTACAGCCTATCGGGTTTTAGACTGCTCTAAAATAATTTCAAAAGATATGAGATAGATAAGGGCAAAGTTCTGTCTTTACCTTATTTCTCATGTTGATAAATTCTTATTAAATCTTCATTTAACCAGCTGAGATAGTAATTTTCTAAATTGGTATTCAAGTTGTTCCTGATCTCATTAATTAATTGCTACCTTTCATTAGGATAATGATATCATCAAATTTTGTTACGTTAATTTAGCGTGTAATATTGTATCTACCTCATTTGATTATTTGATAATAATTTTAAATAAATTTTACATATCAATGAAATTCATTTTAAAGGTAATCTTTAGATCGTTTATCAATTAAATGATGTTCATTTCTAAGGGACAAAAAACTGCAACTTTCAATATGCACTGTTATATCAGCTAATCTATTTGAAGGATGATTCAACAAATAAATAGAAGTAGCTGTTGATTTGAAAGATAGATAAACGCTTGAACAAATTTAATTTGCAAGTGTTCACTTGATTAGAATTTTAAATATCACACTATAAATCAAGTTTTATGTTTTTTTAGTTAAGTTTATAAAATCATTGGTATATTATATATTTCAGGGATCAATGGCCAATTAACCTACAGAATTCCGCAGGGAATTGCCCAAAACTATTTCCAGATTGATGAAAGCACAGGGCTTATCACCTTAGCAACAAGTGACCTTGACCGTGAACAGAAAAGTTCCTATGTATTTACAGGTAGGTATTTTGGTGGCAAATTTATAACATCAAAAAACACACACAAAAAGATTTTGATAAATAAAAGTTTTTTTTGAAGACAATGAATCTGTTTTCTACATGATGTAGGTTTAATTTATTCATAGTGCGCCACTAAATGCAGCATACTGTCCGCTTAAACAAATGCTCTGTCGTCATATCAGTATGATATATTCTTTTACAAAATAGTTGTAATCTCATTTACAAAACAGTGGCAATGTGAATAACAGCTTCTTAGTTTTGATCATTTTAAAGTTGCTTTCGTAGGTATTTTTAGCACTACATTTTACAACTTATAAGTAAAAGTCAATTGATAAGTTATGAAGATGATTGATACATTATTATAATGATATAATTACAGTATCAGTACAAGATTCAGGCTACCCTCTCCAGTTTGATACAACCACTGTGATAATAAATGTAACAGATATAAATGATTCCCCGCCCATCTTCAAGGATAACATGTATTTTGCTACGATTCCCGAGAACCAGGAGAAGGAAGTGATTCACACATTTGTAGCACATGATGCTGATATTGGTGAAAATGCCATCGTCCAGTACAGTATTGTTTGTAAGTGTAACTGTGTTTCTTTTTTTTTTTTAATTTCCTTAGTTTGAAAATAAATCTTCGGCTTTTAAGGGAAATTGAATTTAATTCATCATATGATAATATGACAATTACAGTAGTTATGTGAAGAAAAGAGCTAATTAAATAATCTACGAATTTTTATAACTTTAGATTAGCTCTACACAGAAATTAAAAAGAGGATCCAATTGAATACGTAATACTCAACTGCTAATAAAGGTCTTTATGTAGTTGATATTTCAAGTCATTAGGCTGGTAGCAATATTGACTTTCTGACTTCACTATAACAACAACATATAACCAGTCCATCTTATTCTTTCTCGTTACTGACCAGACACTATAATTATGCTGCTTAACTTTTTATCATAATATTATAATAACTGTAAGAAGTACTGATTGTTCAGAAGAAATCTATTACTAAGACTGAGTGGAAGGAATGTTATAAAATACTTTTGTATTTCAGCTGGAAATGGAGAGGGGATGTTTGCTATAGACTCTATGACAGGTGTTTTGACTACCCAGCGAGCATTAGATCGTGAACGTAACGACAAGTACTTGTTAACAATCATTGCCAGTGATGGTCAGTTTACAGCTACATGTCAGATTGATATTTCTGTAAGTGACCAGAATGATAATGATCCAGTGTTTGAGCAATCCAGATACTCTAAACTTTTGTTTGAAGATGTGGTACCAGGGACACTGGTTGTCAAGGTGAAGGCTAATGATGCAGACGCAAATGAAAATGGCAATGTGACATACTCCCTACATAATGACTCTGATACTAGTTTGTTTGAGATTAATGCCGTTTCAGGGGAGATCAGAACAACAGGGTATGTTTGCTGTAAAAAGTTTAATTTTTTGAACAGTATGTCAAATATAATTGAAATGTGATCTAAAGTAAAGAATGTAGAAAAGTTCAAGTTTTTTTGACTTGCAATCACTTTAAATCTGCAGCTATATTTTGATTAATATCAAGTAGTTTAGAATGTATGTATGTGGAGATTCTAGTGTGTGATTTTTGTGCATGTGTGAAAATGTTTGCATTTTTTCCTTTAGGACATTTGACCGTGAGAAGCAGAAGAGTTACTCATTTGATGTGCTGGCCAGTGACAGTGGCATGTATGACCGTCGTTCCGAGAAGGTTCGAGTCGAGGTTACCATTGGTGACATAAATGACAACGCTCCAGTTTTCCAGGAAGTACCTTACAGAAAGAATGTTTCTCAAGGAGCCAGTGGGAACATGCCTGTACTGACTGTAGTAGCAGACGACAAAGATTCGGGACTTAATGGAGAAGTTACTTACAGACTTGACAGCCAGTCCAATTATTTCAAAATTAACTCCACTTCCGGTAGTATTATGACAAAGCAGAGTTTGGGAGCAAGTGCTCTAGGATACCACAATCTCAAGGTGGTTGCCACTGACAGGGGGGAGAAACCACAAAGCTCTAGTGGTAAGATCAAAGATTTACCATACAGAAAAAATACATTTTCAATAATTGAAATCACAATTTTTGTTTACACATTAACCTTTTTCACATCTTTTAGGTTATCAAAAAGATATGTACATTCCGTTTTTGTAAAAATGAAAACTAATGGTTTTTGTTACTTTTTCAAATTTTATTTTTTAGAAAGTTATCAAAAATATGTATATCTAATAACTATCTGTTTACAATTTCAACAGGTGTTGTTGAGATTACAGTCGGATCAGGTGGGGTTAATAGCTTGGTCTTCAAGAATCAGAACTATTCTACTAGTCTAAATGAACATGCCCGTTTTGGTACCCCAGTAATAAGAGTAGAACTAGAGAACCAGCCGTCTGGCGTTACATTTAGTTTTGCAAGTGGAAACGATGATAATGCTTTCAACATCAATTCTGCAGGTATGTAACTTATAGTATTTAATGGTCTGCATCACTCAATTCTGGGTTGTGTTTGTACATAATAATGATTGTATATCAAATTTGAACAAAATTTATATTCTTCTTGTCAGAGAATTTCATAATGGACTTTGAAAAATGAATTTCACAGCCAATGTTACAAATGCAGTTTGCATTGTGCATACCATTATTATTTATAAGTTATTTGTCAAAAATATTGTTGCTAAGATGAAATATTAATTGTAAAAGTTGTACTGAAAAATATCACATTTGACAAATACTCTTATGCTATTTATATAATGTTTCAGGTACAGTCACTGTACAGAATCCTGTACCTATAGATTATGAGCAGTACCACCATATGAGACTGATCGTGTCTGCCATGTCTGGTGGGGTGTTTGCTTACACTACAGTGTGGGTGAGCTTGATTGACATTAATGATAATGCCCCAAAGTTCTCACAGGATAAATATGTAACCAAGGTTTACGAGGAACAGAAAAGGTTCACCTATGTTATGCAGGTATATACTTCATATTTTGTTCTTGAAAATAAAAATGTTTGTAGGTAACTAGCAAAGAAATTTGTTATTGCTGGTTAGTTATCTAGGAAAGTTGGTTATGTGGATCAACCACCCAGACATGACCAAAAACATTTGTTAAAATTGGCGTATAAACTAAGGAACAAAAAAACAGATTTAGAAAAACAGTGGTGAAATCTTAAAACAAATGAAGACAAAAAATACTGTTTATTTCTTGTTATACAGATATATTCTTAAAACATTTTAAGCGCACACCATATTGGATATATTTATTATGATTTTGTATTTACAATGTGTAATACAGCATAATGTATATTTTCAGGTGACAGCAACAGATGCAGATAGTCTTGGACCTAATTCCGAGATAACATATAATATCATACAGGGTAATACAGACGAGGCATTTGTCATCTTTCCTGCTAAAAGTGGAATCATCAACACAAACGTGATTGTTGACCGTGAGATTAGGGAAGATTACAGACTTGTGATAGAAGCTAAGGATAATGGGGTCAATGGGACATTATCTAGCACGTGTATTGTAAAGATCTCTGTAATTGATACCAATGATAATCCACCCAAACTTCCAGCTACTAAACCTGTCCCTGTTAGAGAAGGTTAGTATATAAAATACATTCCATTTCATTCTGTATGAGATAATTTTAGTTCAGTCAATTCTTGATAAGGTAGAAAAAAATGGTTCTCTATGTATTAACAGTTTGTATAATTTTGAGTATTCATTTTGGTTAATTTTAAACAAAGTTTTCTTTCCCTTTTAAGATTTTGTTTTTAAATTTAATTATTGATGCAAAAAAATCAAAATATGATAGAATTTCTGTTTTTGATTATGTATTTTTTCATTAAGAAATCTTTCTGAGCCTTTTGGGGATTATTTTAATTTTTGTTGTTTATGTGATTACAGGAACGGAAGTGGGGTCAGTTATTACCATGGTAACTGCTAATGATATTGATGTCAGTCCACCGGTCATGTATAACTTTAGTTCTGGTGGTAACCCGGACAACATGTTTAGTATTGACCGTTACAGTGGTATGATACGTCTATCTAAACAGCTTGACCACGAGAGACGACAGAAATACGTGATAGGTATACAGGCTAGTGATAGTATACATGTAGCATACACAACTCTAGATATCATTGTGATAGACGAGAATGATCATGCTCCAGTATTCTCACAACAAAGTTATCAGGTATGAACATTCCTCAAAAACTTCAAAATAAACTTCTTGCATGAGATCTTTTAAAAAAAAAAGAATTGTTAGTAAAAATTGAACAGCTTTGTAGATAAGTAATTTGATTGGCATAACATATTGATTGAGATAGGCAATATTTTGAAATTTAGTCATAAATGTTTCATGTAACTTAAAATAGTTCATTAAAATTTCAAATTGAGCATGTGTAGAAATGAAGTTAAAATCTTATTGTAAATATTGATATTTTGTGTGATACAGGTGTCAGTTGAAGAGTTAACTCCCCCTGATAGGAGAGTCACACAGGTGAATGCAACTGATGCAGATTCTGGAGAAAATGCTAGAATATCGTACAGTTTGGCGCCATCACCATCCAGTGATAGTTTCTACATCAATGAACAAACTGGTATGATATGCTTTACCCCTATTTACTTTGTATTTAGATTAAAAAATCTATTTCTTTGGAAATGTATAGAATGTCGAACAATGGAATAGCAAAAATTGTTAATGAGATGAAAGATTGGTTTGGAGTTTTGAACTAAGAAAATTGGCAACTATATTCTTGAGTCAGTTCTGTAAGTTGGTTAACACTCACAAAATGACCCATAGAGTCACTAATATTATTTTCAAGGTTTATAAGCTTTCAATGCATTTTCCCACTTGATTCAATTCTGCATTTAACAAGTAATTATATTAATAAATGGGAAACCCATGCACATTTTATCATGTATGTAACTTGAAAGTTTTACATGTATATATATGTACATTTATATATTTTCCTACAGGAATCATTTACACCAACAAGACAATCATGTATAAGGCTAACCAGGAGATTATACAGCTAGTTGTCATAGCAACAGATAATGGAACACTCCCACTCTCTGCTGTAGTTGCTGTCTATATACAGTTAACCAGTGTCAACAACTACGCTCCAATGTTCAAGGAAAATAGTTACTCGTGAGCATCCATTCTTTACTCCTATTTTTGTGCAAATTAAAGCATTTTGGTATTTTCAAACAATTAACTTCATGTTGTCAGTATTGATATCTTCTGTTTTTGTTTAAAAGTTGAATTTTTATTTACATTTTAATTCAGTATTAATCAATATGAACAGTTTGCAGTTCAGTTGAATACTGTGATCCCTTCCATTATGTTTATCAGATTATTTGTTCTCTGTATTTATTTAATGTTGAAGTAATGTACAATGACAATGTGTAGTCTGTAATAATGTTTGTTTTCTAAAATACTGATGTTGTCAGCTATGACTAAAACATGAACATGAATAAGGTTTCTTTTTTGAAAGGAACAGAAAATAAATCCATGCCAGTGTAATTTTCATTTTGAGTAAATTCATTGCTTTTTGTTAGTTTACAATTTAAGATTGTGGTGTTCTAAGTTTGAGAATTTTTTGCCTTTTTCAGGACAACTATAAATGAAGATGTTGCTAGAGGATTTGTTGTGATGCATGTCGAGGCTACAGACAAGGACACATCGGGACGTAACAAAGAGATCGACTATCGTATTGTTGGTGGGAACACAAATAATGCTTTTGTTATCGATCAGAAGAAGGGCCGCATCATGTTGAATAGTTTACTTGATAGGGAAGACATTGCAGATTATAATTTACTAGTGATGGCGAAAGATCGTGGAATAATGTCTAAAAATAGCACTGTTAATGTACATATTACAATACAGGATATCAATGATAAAGTGCCATATTTCGAATTCAACGAGTATTTTAAAGAGTTAAATGAGTCATTCCCTGATCAAGTTGGATTTTTGAAAATTAACACATTTGATGAAGATATTGGTGCAAATGGGAAAATATACTACATGATTACATCTGGAAATGATGATGGTCTCTTCATAATAAATGGAGTAACTGGGGAATTATTTATTACTCCTAATATGACATTAGATTATGAACGTCATACACACCACAAATTGATTGTCAAAGCTCAAGACTGCACTGGATGTGCACCAGAACTTCCAAAATTATCAAATATTACCACAGTTTATATAAATGTTACAGATGTTAATGAATTTGAGCCTGAATTTCCTGTAGTGATCTATTTCGAAGGTGTAAAAGAGGAAATGAATATTTCATCATCAGTGTTTGAAGCCCATGCCAATGATAAAGATGGCGGAATCTTTGGAATAGTGGAATACAGCCTGACTGGATCATCTCTTTTCTCTATACATCCTAAGACTGGACTTGTTACCACTAATAAACGTTTTGACTATGAAAATTCTGATCAAAAGGAATTTCAGTTCCAGATTATTGCTAGAGATAGAGGTGGAAAGTTGAGCTCTATTCCTGTTATATTGAATCTTGTTGACGTTGACGAGTATGATCCACAATTTGAAAAATCTGGTTATGAATTTAGTATTCCTGGCAGTGCTAAAAAGGGAACTTTTATTGGTCGTGTTAGAGCTTCAGATAGGGATGGTGGGAGTGCTGGTAAAATCGTCTACAGGTTCAACCCTTCACACAAATATTTTGAAGTAAATGCCTCAAATGGAGAAGTAAGAGTGAGTCATGATCTAAATATGGAAATAGCAGACGATCAAACAAGAAAGAGGCGTGAAGTGAATACTCTTTTCATTGAAGTAAGTTCAGGATTAGACGGTTCAAGAAGCAGTTCTGTTTATGTGGACATTCATGTTGATCGCACTTGTGAAGGTTGTGTAATGAAATATATCCAGAAACCAACACCCACTGATGATGATTCAATGAGTGTAATTATCATTATTGTTGTTATAGTGTCTGTCGTGGCCATCATTTTACTAGTTATTATTGCTGTTATATTGTTACGCAAACGTTATCAAGGCAAAACTCCACCTCCAAGTGAGACACCCATGTGCGATAATGATGAATTTGATACTCTTCCACATCCAACACGACAAATTGGACCTCCAGGCTATGGAGATGTTGTAAGGTTTCCTGACAACTATGCGGTCAACATGACAACGTCATCTGATATGTCCGGTCATTCACACAGATCAGGATCAAGTGGGCGAGGCTCGGCTGAAGATGAGGAAGACGAAGAGCTTGCTATGATAAATTCTAGTTCGCCTTACTTAAATAATTCAAATGGATTTAGGAAAAACATGCCAGATTCAGGGATACAAGATGATGATAATACATCTGAACCGTCAGTGCAAAATCATCAAGACTATTTAGCCAGACTTGGCATCGATACTGCTAAAATAAATTCAAAAGCCAAGTCTGGTTTGACTCATTCTGTTGAAAGCATGCATCAGTTCTCTGATTCAGGGGGAGGAGAAGGGGATGGTTTAGACATTGACAATATTGACTATACTAAACTACAGGGTTCCCATGTAAATCATGGAAATATTGTAGATAAAAATAATGACATGGGATTCCATGAACCGTCACCTCATATGGGTGGTTCATTATCAAATGTGATAAATAGTGAGGAGGAATACAGTGGTTCATATAACTGGGACTATTTACTAGACTGGGGACCCCAGTACCAACCACTCGCTCATGTGTTTTCAGAAATCGCAAGACTTAAAGACGATACAATTCAGCCAAAAAAGCAAGCAGTGCAAATAGTTCAGCAAAGACAATTAAGTACTAATAATCCGGCGCAAATACGGATGGTGCCGCCACCAATGATTACAAATGCCCCGCCAAAAGCAATTACGCAACCAGTGTCAAGGTCAAATAGATCTAGTCATTCCTCAGGAGTGTCAAATATGAACTCTCGCAACAGTACAATAAATACTTCCCTTCCCAGCATGCCCCGTTCACCCATCAGTCATGAGTCAAGCTTCACATCTCCTGCTCTAACACCATCATTTACCCCATCTCTGTCTCCCTTGGCAACTAGAAGTCCTTCTGTGTCGCCAGTAAATAGTGGGCGGGGCATGGTGTCATCAAATCATAGTTCAGGACAAAATACACCGAGAAGTAGAACATTAAACTTAAACAACAACAACAAATATGTGTTTAGTTCTTCCGGTTCTGAGCAGGAATTACGAATATAGAATGAAGTGTAGGTTCATGTATTTATAATTGTGTAAAAATTCTCAGCAAACTAATAAATCAAAACTGTGGAACGATTAGATATTAAACTAATTATAGTAGTTTAGTAGTTTTTTTGTTAGTAAAGGTTTTTTAATTCATGTATAAAAAGTACAATATTGAACTTTTCATTTTAATTTCATTTAAACTCATTCTATTTCAAAATACTTATTTTTATTTAAGAGAATAGAATTATAATTTTTGCATATCATGACTAAATGAAATATATAATTTTAAATTGGCTTTTGATACAATTTAATTTGATTTTAATGAGGAGTTGTGAAATGGTATATCTCAGTCTTATTTGACTCTAAACATGTGACATGTTCTGTTTTATTTCCTATATAGGTTGTGTTAATTTATTTGTTCAGCGACATTGTTCAATTTCAGTATGGTTGTTTTCTTTCCTTTAAAGCTGCATGCCTTCAGATGAGCCAAAAAAATTATTTTTTTTTTAAATCAGACCTGATAAAAAGTTTTTAGATTGTAAGAAAAGTAAAATGTTTCAAGCATTATGTAATAATGTACATGTTATGTGCATAAATGACTGATTTTGCTGTATTCATCACCATATTTATACTGTGTGACTTAAGCAGTAAGGGCTATTTTTGCATATATGTGAATTGCAATGTATAAAATACTTTCTTTGATCATGTCACAATATTTTACTTTTAAATACATTTTAAAATGAAAAATAACACAAACCAGGAGGCATGCTGCTTTAAAGAAACTTTCTCATATGATTTATTTGTCTCTATTTCAAACAAAGATACTTGGCTGTTTTTACATATGTTTAATGAACTTTTTACATGTTCTTTTAATATATATTTTGCTAAGAAGATTTATTGGCATATGTTATTACATATATAATATACATCTATAGTATTTGGATGATGTTTAAAAAAAAAACAGCAATAAATGTCACAGTCTTTACTTGACATCACTTGTTCCCTAGCAACCAACATTATTCATCTAGTGCTATATCTTGCTCCTTTTGCCACTTCTGAAAAGAACATGAATTTTTTATCATGAATTTGAAAGCATTTTAAAGTACATGTAATAAATATGAACAAGACATTTTTACCAGATGTCTTACAAGACTTAATGATATTTAAATAAATGAAGTCTAAAGAAAAGAAATAAGATTGCAGTATTTGCGAAAGAAAGAATGATTATTTCTAGAAATAATTATCAAACAGGTGAAAATGTTTGATCTTGGTTTGGAAATTCTGTTCTTATGAAATGGCAAATCAAACAAGCATAAAGAGACTGTGAACTGTGTCAAAAGAATTTGTGTTTAAATGTGCCAAAATGTACAGTAGATGTTGTGACCTACCGATACACATATACATTATCTAAATATTACATCTTAATTTTTTTTAAACTTCAGTATTCATCAGATTCAGTTTTATACTTGACTGTTTTAGATAACTTTAATGGACATTATTAACATATTGCAGTCTCACCTGAACTTTTTTAAACCTTTATCTTATATTTGTTTTTTATGATGTTCTTATTTCAGGTTTTTTATGATGTTTTATGATTCAGGTTTTAAATATAATCATTTGACATGTAAAAAGTTTTGTTATTTGAAAAAAAAAAGATTAAGGACTTGAGCTTACAGGTATATACCTATAAGAATTAGACTGTGCCAGTTTTGTCTTTGACATAAAAAAAATTGTGACAAGCAACTATCGACTAGATAGATAAACTGTCATGACATAAGATTTTTCCATATATATGTCCCAGTTATTGCCCTCCTCTGAATGTTTTAAAGCTGCACTAAATAATTTTCATGAAAGAAAGAAATAGCTACATTTCATTAATTAAATGTGTTTCATAAGTTTCATAAATAATGAGATTTACAACAATACTGTTAAAAAAGTTACAAAACTATAAAATGCTTGGTTTTTAAGCGGACAGAAAAATATGTTTACAAGTTTTATTTAATGCAGCTTTAAAACAAGAACAAACACCTATCATTATGCTGTTTAAATGGTAACAAGTCCTTTATAATTTGACTGTCTTATACTACAGCTTTATTTCTTTCTACCAAATTATACTATGTGTTATAAACACAACTATTTATATGTAGTATCTAATACTATTCTTGACCAAAAAACCTTTTATACATTTTCTATTCTCATTGTAATTTATATTTTTTTGTTTCTCTCCTTTCTTTCTAAAATAACAAAAGTGATGAAAAAGGTATATAATGATGTTATCACATTCCATGTTTAAATTGTAATTGCAAAGTGTGAGTATTACTAAGTTGCTTGTAAAAACAGCAATACATGATTATCTTGTATTATTTCTGTTTCTTAATTAACACACATTACAGACGGGTTCTTCAGTTTAATAGAAAAAAAAATATAGCTATTTTAGATTTTCTATAAAACTCTTCTTATCAAGTCTGTTTTGAGAAGCATAATGATTTTTACTTTTACTCTGTTATCATTTTTACTCTAATATTAATTAATTGAAAATTTTAATGATTTTTATTTTTCAATGAGCATGCTCAGAATTTACTTACTTTTTAGGCATAAAATGATATATAATTCTGTGTCACTCATTATCTATACCGTGTCATAGTCTGCAAATTGTTAAGTCAATTGTGTAAAAGTAAAATATTTGATTTTCTAACCGACTCTGGACTCAAGTTTTAATAAGTTGTGATTTTTTTTGTTGGCTGAATAATGACTTCAGATAATTATATATTCATATTTTGCCCAGATTGTACATGTTTGTGTGAAAAGATCTGAGGATAGACTTGTTTACATGCTGTCTCTGTTAAAATATTTTATATAACCATGGCAATACAGTGTATGTTTATTATGTCATTTATGCAAAAAATGTAATAATTTTTGTTGATATTTCATCATGTACATGTACATTCAGGTCATTTAAAGATAATTCATCTATTATTAATAATAATTTGTTTACATTTATACTTTATCTTTCTTATACTGTATGAGAATATTTCATTTACAGTTTTAAAAAATATTAAGTAAGTTGCAGATTACATATGTGTGTAGAATTTTTTTTATGTAAAATTTAAATTATTATGAGTGAATTATTGTCATTTATTTAGATTAATTATTTGATGAAATATTCATTTTCAGTTGCATTTTTGTGAAATACTACTAAAGAGTACTTAAAGAAATAATATTAAGGGACATATTTCCTGAACCTGTGTATGTAAGGATAAACTAAATATTATACTCACAAAACTTGTGCTTTTCTTTTTGGAAATCAAAACTGCATATATACACAAAACTGGAATTAAGTTTTACTATTGGGCAAAAGAACACCAAAAGTTGAGTTTTACTTTGGGGCAAAGTCTAGGAATATTAAGTCGTAAATTGTCATACATGTATTAAGACTGAGTAAGTAAGACAGCTATAGGAAATGTTCTCTTGTACTCTTTACCTCTTCTCTAATTTCTACGTGTTCACAATAAATTGTTTTCATTGGTCAGTGATTAATTCATTATAAAATTTAAATCTTCATCATTTTTTCCAATAAAAACTTATTTTTTTAAATTTTTTCAAGAAAATTTTATTTTTGATAATAATTTTATAAAATTTGAATATTTTTTTTTCTGTTTTTTATATTACCTACTTCCCTTTTTTAAAAACCTTTCAAATTTGGTTGGCCAGAATTTCCTGGCCATTGGTTTTTTTTGGTTTGTGTTTTGCCAAAAAGTTTTTTAACATTGACTAGTCGCTGAAATGTAAGCATGGTGATTTTAAAGGGCCCGGGTTTAAAAGGGAAAAAACAACATGCTCAAATGGGCAAAAAAAATTTTTTTGCTAAACAAAATAACTCCTTTTTTAAAATTTTTAGATTGTTTTAAATTTTAAAGACCCCGACTTAGAGGGGAAAAAGGGTAAAAATACCCAACCCCCGACACAAAAACGGGAATAAAACATGTATTTTTTTTGTAATTGTCAGAAAAAGGGTTTAGAATATTTAACTGGGAGGACCTTTTTTGGGACTGGAGGGTTTGGGTCTTTGGGGCAAGGAAAAGGTTTATATTAAAATATCAATCAAAACGGTAGCATCCTCCCCATGTTTTTCAAATTGCATGGCTATTCACAGAAAAATTTAAATTTAATGGAGGAAAATTTTTAAATTTTAAGGGCTGGGGGGGTTTGGGGGTATAACAACCTTTTGCTTTCCTGTGGCAAATGAGAAAATTATAAGGGGGGAAAGGGCCTGAGCAGCGAAACGGGAACCCGCCCCTGGGGAACATTCATTCTCCTTATTTTTGACTTTTAATGTATTAACATAAAAAGGGTTTTAAAATTCTCCCCTTTGGGCCTTTAAATTTCCAAATTTAAAATACAGATTTTTAAATTTTTTTCAGAGGTTTTACTTTGTCCTTGTTTTATTTTTGTTTGATTGAGACTGTTTATGAGACATATGATAATTAACCAATGTAACATTTGTCACGTCCCTTGGTACCTTTTTTAAGCGGTAATCAATCCTAATCATGTAAAAATAATGGATTCAATGATCCCAAAGGAAAATGTGACATCACTGAAATGAAGTAAAGGACAACACAAAACTGAATGGTATCTTATTGAAGTTTTAAAACCTTAGGATAGCCAACTACAGCATGTTAGTTGCATATTCCCCTTGCACAGTAAATCAATAATTCGTGAACTCTATGTTTTGAAAATTACTGTTTTTTTTCCATGTGTAAGTGATATGTTTTGCTAATGTGTGTGCGTGCTATACACTCAGAATGCTCTTTTTTCTAAGATGGGTCACAATACCCAGGCTGGTGCACTTTACTTTGTGTATAGGAGTCAAAATATTATGTGAGGGGGGGGGGGTCAATGTTCTTTGAAAAATAATGATCGGAGTCATTTTCATGATGCCTACACCGAGGGTCATAATATTATGAGCAGGAAGTCAGTAATATTTAATAGACCGGGGGCAGTGCAAACCTCGAACCTTGATCAATTTAGGCTAAAAATAGACCTACAAATGAAACATTGTTTTATGACATTTTTCTTCTGGGCAAATAAATCATATGACTATTTAAGCAAGGGATAACCAACTATGCCACTAATTTGTAAGAAAATCAGCTAGGTCTAATCTTCACCCTTTTATTTTTTAACACTATCAACTTGTTTCTCTCATACATTTTGCATTACTTACTTCTCCTGTACATTTCTGTATTAAAACGTGCACTTCTGCACAAAATACTCGAAAGGGTGTGATTAGGTTGTAATGGCAACTTGGGTAACATAAACCACGGACCTTAATTGACAAGGTCCGTGCAGAAACGTATCAGTAGTCAAGGTCGCAACCAACCTAAGTTTCTTGGTATTATCTATCTAATTAAAAGTTCAAAATGAAAACATTTTCTAAAAAAAAAAACAAAAAAAAACGAAACAAAAACATAAAATCAAATAGACATACCTTATATTATATGTATTTATTTACGTTGCATACACCATGTTTTTCTATATATGGTAATTCCTTGTATTTTAAATGGGAATAGTTTGGGTGGTATTTATGCAAGTTGTTAATGTATAGTGCATTCGAGGTACGAGGGTTGTTCAAAAATAGGACTACAGCTCTACTGCTCACATTTTTTAATTTACGTACATAATTTTACAGGAACATGTTCTCTATATACAGTGAGAAAATCAATACAAATAACAATTCTGTGAAATTTTCAAATGAACCCGGCGCACGCTGACAATACAATAAATGACGTTAACTATATAAATACAAAATATATCAAGTCTCACCCATCCTGAAAGTATTCTCCCTAGTGCTCTAGGTGTCTGAATTATGCGACCATAATCAGGTCTAGAGATCACAATGCCGTTGAACTTTCCAAGGAAAATCCCGATAGCCAGCCATTCTCCACTTTTTCGAATATTTAATATAACTGGGAACTTAACAAGCATGGGCTTATAATGCTAATGCAAAAGCGATTTGTATTATTAATGTTCACATGTATATCATCGTACGTTTTTAAAACAATATGATTATATACAGTTTAATAACAATATTTATCAATTGAAAAGTATCAATACTACTAATCATTCCGTTAATCATTATTATATTACTTTATTAAAACCAAGTTTATCTACTGATATACTATAATATGGTGTTTGATAGAAACTTCTTATATACAATCCTTTAGTGAGAACTGAATAAGTAGACCCTAAGCAGACATAAAAAGTGCCGGGCAATCCGCCTACCGTTTACAGTCAATCCATTTACAGCTCTTTTGCAAATGACGTCACAAACGTCACGTCAATTTTCCGCTTCCATCCTCACGCTTTCATGTTAGATATTTTGTAGCCGCCGTTTTTAAATTGATTGTACCAGCTGAAAACGAGTGTCCTGATGGCAGGATAATTTTCCTTTCTTAATTTTATCATTTTGTATGTATCTGAAAGAATATTGCCAATTTCTTGGCACAATTTAATGATAGCAAAAATTTCTGTTTGTTACCGAGTGCCGTATTTCTACATTTAACGCCATGACCACAACTGTTCAAAACTAAACTAAATAATTATGATATTGCATGTCCGAATGAAGTCAAATTTAGATACATGTATAATGTCACTTAGATATAAATAAATGTGTTGGTGGAATATATGGACAAACAGAGTATAAATTATGAATAAATTAGAAGTACAACTTAGCTTCAATAACTATTTTTACGTGCTGCGTAATAATAATGAAGGGGAGGGGAGATCAACAGTTTCGTGTTTTGATTCAATATAAAGTTATGAATATAATTCAAAATAAATGCTTTATTAGTCCCCTACCGGTTTAACCGGAGGGGACTTTAGGTTTACCCTCCGTCCGTCTGTCCGTCTGTCTGTCTGTCCGTCTGTCTGTCAGTCTGTCAGTCCGTCAGTCCGTCCGTCCACAAAACTGGATCCCGCGATAACGCAAAAAGTACTGAAAATATTTTTATGAAACTTGATATATGGATAGATGGCAGTATGGAGATTATGCACGTCTTTTTTTTTTCTTCCTATGTTGAAAATTCTGGTTGCTATGGCAACAAATAGTCTGAAAATATGGCAAATTTAACACATAAACTGGATCCAGTGATAACTCAAAAAGTACTGAAAATATTTTTATGAAACTTGAAATATGGGTAGATGGCAGTCTGGAGGTTATGCACATCTTTTTCTTTTCTTCCTATGTTGAAAATTCTGGTTGCTATGGCAACAAATAGCCTGAATTTCAAGATTTCTGATTTAAATTTTTCAGCTTTTTCACTATATGTTCTTTATTTCTTAAGGTGTTTACTTCAAACTTTAAATATAAGTTCCTGGTCATCAACCACATCATATGTGACAAGGTTTATAACTCTAGCACAAAAAATATCAATATTACCTCCCTTGAACTTAGATTTTTTTATGAAAAAAAATGTTGTCTTTTTAAATAACTTCTTTATTTCCTAATGTATCTACTTCAAACTTCATATATATATGTTTCTTATTATCACTCGACATTTTTGAGAAGGTTAAATACTCTAGCAAGACTATTTCCAGAATTATGTCCCCCTTGAACTTAGATTTTTTTTCGAGAAACTGGTATTTTCACTCCAACTTCTTCATTCCTTATAGGATTTACTTTAAAATCCCACATCGTAATAATATGACAAGGTTGTATAAACATAATTTCCTTACTAAGCATGGAAACTTAACACATTACTGTGATATAGACAAACTTATTTTATTATGTTTTGTGGTCGATATTTTCAAATACAGACTTCATCCTCAAATTCATTATAAATGGCAATACACAGGAGTGTATGACAATTAAAGAACTTTTTGAGGGACCGGTAGGGGACTACTGTATTGCCCGCAATACTATCAAATGCTTGTTGTTTCTGAATTAGCATTACAAAATCAACAGTTGTCGTTGACCCTAACATTAATCATGTGCAGTACCTAAAATACGATGCGTTATTCTGTATTGAAGCCAAAGAAGTTTTGGATCCTTAGTCAATTTAAAGGGAAGAGTAGATACTTTTCCAGTTAAGATAGATAGAGTCTATTAGAAAAATCATTTTGCCATTTTTTCTGATTTTGTCTGACGATTATTATTGACCAGCACATCGTACATTCTTTCATGACTTTTGTTAAGCATTTGGATTTTTACTTTGATATCGTTTTGCTTTACATGAAAATCCGTCAAAACTTTTCTGAAGGAATGTATTATACCTTCATATTCAAGAGTGTTTGAGTTAACATCAAATAATCTTTGAAATTCTTGAAAACTATAAGAAACAGCCCATATTCGTTTACAAAATCGTTGACAAACATCATCATCATCATCATCTCAAGTAATTGCATCACTCCGCAAGGAGTATACTCGCAATCGGATAAAAACTGTATATACATACGCAGCAGGCAGGACTGACTGTTTTCCAAAATAAAAATAAAAAGTTTCCCTATTTACAGTTTCTATTAAAAGAGTAAAAACAACTCCGTGATTAGTATTTTATATGTTGACTGGCCAGAGCTGATTGGAAAGCATCCAGGCTGGTCTGGTCAACAACGTCTTGCGGCAGCTTGTTCCAAAGCACGATGGTTGCGGGAAAGAAACTATTTTGGAAGATGGAGGTGCGTGGAAGCGTTGGTTGTGCCCTCTGACAGTCTTAGCATTGATAAATGGAGGATCTGTATAATATCCACAAGGTTGTGCATTATCTTGAAGAACATAGTTGTTCTGGTGTTGTTGCGCCGGTGTTGGAGGGTGTCCCATTTGAGGTCGGTAAGCATGTCGGTGACGCTGCTTGTTCGCGTGTAGTCTTGTTTCACGAATCTTGCAGCGCGACGTTGGACCATTTCTAGTTGGTTGATAAGACCCTCAGATTGAGGGGACCAGACAGATGAGGCGTATTCAACAGTAGGTCTGATATATATGTCTTGAAGGCATTAGACTTGGCGCTTGGAGGGCTAGATCGTATGTTTCGCCTGATGAATGACATGGTGGAGGTAGCCTTTTTGGTGATGTTATCGATATGTTTTTTCCATGAGAGGTCTGAAGAGATGGTGACTCCAAGATATTTGGCATGATCTGCAGTGTTGAGTTTTCCGTGGATGCTATAGGTGTTAGTACTAGGTTTTCTTTTTGTGGAGATGTGGATGACTTCACATTTGTCGGGATTAAAAGCCATCTGCCAATCATCCTCCCAGGACTGGAGACTATCTAGGTCATGTTGAAGTTGGCGTGAGTCCTCAGGGCTACGGATGATTCTATACAGGAGGAAATCATCGGCGAAGAGTCGAGCCGTGGATTGGACTTTCGAGGGTAAATCATTGATGTAGGCCAAGAAAAGAAGAGGGCCAAGGACGCTGCCCTGAGGGACACCAGAGGTGACAGGTGAGATAGCTGAAAAGGAGCCCTCAAGGACAACCTGTTGTGTGTGCGACGAGAGAAAGTCTTCAATCCAGGAGTGGGTTGTGCCTCTTATTCCATAATGGTCCAGTTTCTGAAGGAGACGTGAGTGTGGAACTTTATCAAATGCTTTTGAGAAGTCAAGCAGAACAGCGTCAATTTGATGGTTGTTATCTAATCCTTTGGCTAAGTCATTGATGGTCATTAGTAGTTGAGTGTCGCAGGAGCGTTTTTTTCTGAACCCATGTTGGTAGTCAGAGAGGATGTAACGTAACACATTTTCTGAAGTAGTGTTTAAATTCAAACGATTTTCCTGCAATTCTGGAATAAGGATTTAACCATTTCGGTTGGAAAAGAATCTGCCCAAATTGTACTTGTACAATTCTTACATTGAAATAAATAAAAAGAACTCAAAACATCCTTTCAAAACAAATTGTTTTCTTTGTAACAGATAGTCACTACCATATTTGGTCCAATGATATAAAGAGTAGGGCACACTTCTTGTACAAGTTGTTTGAAGTGAAAAGTCTCTTAGATAAGAAGACGTCTTTCTTCGGACTGGCTTTTTCTAATTATATAAGACATATTTCTTTCTGTCTGCAGTGATTAAAAAGACATGCAGTATCTCTCAGAAAAATATAATTTGATTTTCATTTGGTTTGTCTGTACCGATTTTCTTCAAGAATTGATCAATGAAGTTGTTTCTTTTATACATGTAAATCATTTGGCAAACTTAACGGCATGCCCCCCTAACATTGATCGAATAAAAGCATAAGTAGGACTTTGTACACCGGTCTTACTGACCGGTACCGGTATTACTGACCGGTGTGTATACATTGTAAACATCGCTCAAGATAGATCTGGTTCATTTTACACAGTTACTCCCCTTTGCGGAAGTCGCAGAAGACAACATTTGTAATTAAATCAATAACAAACTGTTGCAGGCTTTGCGAGCAACAGTGTCATCACATGATTGAATCAATACCATGATGCTTTCTGGATTCCATCTTAAATAAATGGTAACTACACGTAATGCTTTTTCAAGGACTTAAAATGAAAAGTATTTAAGATTTGGGACGAGAGACAGATAGGAAATTCGTCCTCAAGTACGTTCGACCCATATTCTAATTATCCGTTGGTTAGTTATCTTTTTAACCATCTATCTCCGAATACTGCCAACCCCTTTTTTGAGTGTTATAGGTTAAGTGATTTGCTATATTTTCCCCAGCTTCTTTCAACAGCTTTATCAATATTGATTCAGTTTATCTATAGATTTAAGTTACATTGAAAACAGCTTTATTAATATTGATTCAGTTTATCTATAGATTTAAAAGACATTGAAAATGGCGGGGCATCCTTGGCCGAGTTGTTAAGGTGGTTGACTTCAAACCACTTGCCCCTCATGGCTGTGGGTTCAAATCCCAAAAGGGACTTTGGATTCTTTCAAGTGAGGAAGCTATCCAGCTGGCTTACAGAAAGTCGGTGGTTCCTATTCAGGTGCCCTTTCGTGCCTGAAATAATGCACGGAAGGGCACCTGTGGTCTTCCTCCACCAGTAAAGCTTGAATGTCGTGATATGACCTATACTGTGTCGATGTGACGTAAAACCCAAAAGAAACAAAGAAACAAAACATTGAAAATGGCAGTGCCCAACAAGAGATGACACTGAAAATTTCCCTGATAGGTAAAGAAATCTGTATAATTTTTCATTGTTTTTTTTTAAATATACTTGTGTAGTCTATAACCAGGCAAGCCAAAGCCAGGACCTGCTTCGCAGACCGGTCTTTGACTACCCAGGATAATTCTTTTTTACTATGCAGTATGATTATTCGAACAGGATAATGTTTAATGAAGAATACTGAATCAACACTACAATGATGTGACAAATTTTTGTGAGACTGTGTGACATGTTTATAGCAGCACTGATTGTTGCGTTCGTACTTGGTGTTGTTATCACATTACTGGCACAGTTATGGATCAGTCACAGATGGTTGTCATACCAACCTCAGCTTTACCCTCCTTACAAACAACAACATGAGAAAGCTGAACTACCACCAGTATGTCTTTTAGTTTATTTATAATTGGATAGAATTTCATAATGACCCTTAATTAGAATGACTCCATTATAAGCTATCGGATCATATTTGCTTAGTAAATAACACTGTGCAAATTAATTAAAACAGCAGATGATATTCAGCCTAATTCAGGTTAAGGTTACCTACTTAATTATTTAGTTAGTATATTTATCTATTTTACTTATGTTTCTATATTAAAGTAAAGAAAGCAGTGGCTTGGCATGAGTGACATCAAATCTTTTTTAACTTTCCAAAGAGATATTAAAATGAACAACACAAATTAAACCTTTTGCAAAGTCACAAGATTATACAAAAATTACTGAAACCCTTGTTACTGTTAATAGTCCAATTTCTGGAAAGGGATCTTTAGCATTGACGTAGATTCACATATATATGTACATACATACATTTGTTTATATAATGTAAATATAACTAAATTTTGAACTGTACTATGTAAAAAGAGTAACCTTTGTGTCTTTTTGAATAAAATTCTTGAAATGCATGAAATCAAGAGACTTGCTCCTTTTGTTTGAAAGTATTGTTCATAGTAATTATTTATACATTGTATTGTAGGTGTTACGACAATCAGTGTATGGTATAAAGAGACAGCATGGATCACGGGGTGATCTTGGAAGAGGTGCGGTCGTGGGTACCAAAAGTATCGCCGAGGAGAGAAGGACTAGCAAAACAGTAATAGATGACAGGCGAGCCAGTAAGGTCGTGCCCGATGAGAAAACTGCAGCAGTGACCGATGAAAGAAAGCAAGATCAAAATTTGATACTTAATGTACTTTTTCAGTTTCTTTTTGCTGAGTTAAAGGATACTGCTAGGGTGAGAAGGTAGGTATTTTGTAAGATCTTGAGGTCAATGTTCAATGACTTATTTCATGTCATTAAAACTCTTAATCCAAGGAAATTCATGTTTTAAGAATGCAAATGTATTACTCTATAAGAGGATTTCATTGGCTAAGTGTGATATAATTGACATAGAATTATATACCGCCACCAAGGAAGATTATATTTCTTTTAAGATCATTAAATTAAATTGGTTCATTCAAGATATTGTTAAAAGTTATTTATCAGGCTTTGTGGAAAGTTTGTTGTAATAACTGTGATACCTAGATATTTGGTCTTTCCTAAGAAAGTTCTCACATAGGCATGTAGCAGTATTGGTCTTAACTAAAATTAAAACATATTTCATTTAAGGTTTAGTTTTAGGGAAATCTTTTACTCTTTTATTTACTATTTTACATTATTACAGCATGATTTTGAAATTTCAATTATAAATGAGTTTAGTTTTGGATAAAATACTTCCACTTTGATAACATTGATAAATGAATGTGTGTTATTATTTAGATGGGCTGCTAGAAAGATGAATGCAGAGTTTGATGAAATGTTGACATCAACAGCTGGCAAACTAATGAATCAAATACAGGTTAGTCAGCAATTTTTTATTTTTCTATTCAAGGTCATTCTTCTATTTTTGACATTTATTTTTCTATCAGTTGCTACTTGTATTTATATCAATATTAAAGCAGCATGCTTCAATATTTGTATTAATTTTGATCAATATGTAAAATCGTTGTAAATAGTAACAAGATCAGATTATGTGATTTAATCTACATGTAACTCAATTAACATATATTACCTATAACCTGTAAAAAAAAAATAAATATGTATCGTAATGAGGTAGAATTTTGATGATAAATTAATGAATTGTAAATTATTTTTTCTGTTAAACTTTAGACATATTTTTCTTGAGTTTTATTGTCATTGAATTTTTTTAACATCTGATGTGCTGCTTTAAGGGTTAACTAATTCACTGGAGTAAAAACAACGACTTAACCCTGTCTTCTTGCTCAAGAAAACAACAACTTAACCCTGACGGGGTTTGAACCCATTCGGCAAGCGATCATTACATTACAACACGTAAACCACTTGGCCATGCCGCCACTAGTAGTTGGTAGGTAATCATAGTGTGATGTGCTGTAGGCATCTTGTTGTAATGTATGTTTGAACTGCTCATTGGTTTAAAAAACTCAGACTTATGGACAGCTATCACTATACACTAACAGCTACTGTTATATCAACTAATTAGATAAAAACTTAACTTTAAATTCAACATGTTCATTAGGTTCGAGATTTTAACTTTGGGAGCAGTTTTCCTCTGGTAGACTCTGTGAAACTAAGGCATGTTGAACTGTCTAATGATGAAGATATTATACAGGTAACTATCATAGCCATTTAAGTTGATTAATTTATATATGAATGTTTTTTTATTGAATCTAACATGAGTTAACTTTACTTGTCTAAATATGTGAAACCCATTTTTACTGTGTTTTTATTCTTGGTTTAGCTTACAGAACATCTGTAGTTCTACTTGTGTTTATTGAAGCTCTTAAGGTATTCAGTTAAAACTTCACACATATCATTGAACAGGCTCAATCAAATCCAGCCTGCAATATTTTCAATTTTGCCATTTTGAGTGTTCTTTAGGGATTTGTTTTTTTTTTCTGTCTGATAATTATTGTATGCCACTATCCAAGGCATGCTTATTTTTATACAACTTTGTAAACCATGATTATTAATTTAAAATTATTAACTCTTCAGCCAGTGAAGGTATTTATTTGTGATTTTACATGTATATATCTCCAGTGTCATAATTTAGGTCTATTACTGAGATCTGTAACTCTTGCACGGATTTTCACTTAAATTATTTGCCATTTTGAACATACATTTGTATTTTACCTGCATGGTTTTTGTCTAGCATTGGGAATAGTCTTTTTTCATATCTTATTTCAGATTTAGTCTTAGATATAGTATAAAATTGTACATTTGTATATTACAGACAGTGGATGTGGAGCTAGATATTGATTATGAAGGTGGTTTTCAGCTTACACTAGATGTCGATATTATATTTGGTGCATGGGCATATTTGTCTATATCTGTAACTAAACTTGCTGGACAAGGCAGGTTACAGTTAACAAGGGTACCATTTACACACTGGTCATTCTCATTCTACGAGGTTAGTTTAACACATTCATTCTTAGTACATAAAGTATTTAAATTATTTACAAAGCACACTTTACATTCAGTTAAAAGTTCATTCACCTTACATGGTATCCTTTGTAACCAGTATGCTCAATTGTAAATCATAAAATGTTTGATATTGAAATCCCTCATACTAACAACAGACAGTTGAAAGAAATCGAAAAATTGTAAGTTCATTATGCAAAAATTAGCAGTAAAAGGATAAAGATAATTACATTATTTTTACTCCCTATATTCTATTTCAACCAGGTATGGGGTAATGAAACATACAGTATTTAATTAACTTTATTAACTTTAATTTAGTTTAATTTAAGTGTTTAGTTAACAGTTCAAAATGGTTCTGATAATATATGTTAGAAGAATATTTTACACATAACTTGTTACTCTAATCATAATCAGGACATTTATATAGGATGTTATACAGTTAACTAGTAGTGATATGTATATACTGCAATTTCTGCATGTAATGTACATGTAAAATAATTTGTAAAAAGAAATGTACTGGTATTTTACATTGAAACATTTGTATATTGATTGCTTTCTATGTACACCTTTGTTCTGCCTTTACCTATATAATTCATGGATACCACTTACACTCTGATGTTATTTATTTCAAAAGCATCTTGATGCTTAAAACTTACCCAAAAACTATGTCTTAATCATTAATTCATTGTTTAACATTCATTTGCTCATATTACATTAATACATATAGACTATGTATTTTATGACAGGAGCCAAGAATGGAGTTTAACGTTGATTCAAGGTTTAATGGCCGTCCAATTCCACAGATTTCTTCACTTATTGTAAACCAGGTACTGTTTCATTATAATTATTCTTAAATGTGGAGAAGGTTTTTGTTCAGCAATTATATTTTTTCCGAATGGAAATATATGGTACATATACTGTCAAGCATCTGCCCCCCCCCCGGTGTTTGTGTGTACATGTATTACTCTACATATTTTTTTTCTTGAATGACATCAGTATAACTTGTATCATGTGTTCAATGATGTTTGACAAGAATGAATCAGTATAGGTTTTACTAAGTGAAAAACAAAATGTCTTTGGTTTTTCTTAGAAATACTTGGAATAAATGTGGAGCAAATTAAGAAGGATGATATGTTATATGAGTATATAAAGATATTGTTTCAATATGGAACTGTAGTGTAACAATGTTTGAATATGTTCACCTTGTTATTCAATATGTCAAAAACTTCCAGTAGTTGTGTTATAATAAAGATTTGTAACCATTGTGTATGTTATTATTTAGGACCAACCTATAGAGTTTTATATGAAAATTACAGAAGAAACTAATATTTTCTTTATATGATTTCAGATAAAGCGGACAATAAGAAAGAAACATGTTTTACCAAGTTACAAGATGAGATATAAACCTTTGTTTGTAAAACCTGAAGAATCATTTATCAACCCTGATATATGTTTCCACGGACACAAACTAGGACCAGGAAAGTTGTCAGTAAAGGTGCTAAAATGTAGCAGACTGCAAGAGCTGTCATCAGAATGTAAACTGTACTGTACATTATCTGTTGGTTAGTGATTAAAATATAAAAATGACATCAAAATTTATGTTAAAATCTGAAAAGCTTAAAGAGAAATTACTGACTTCTGTTCACAGCAGAAGCAAATTTGACTGACTTAGTGAATTAGCATGTTAATAAGATTAGAAAATTAGAAATAACTGACTTCAGTTAACATGTACATGTAATACTCTTGATATAACTGTCTATTGTTGTAAACTAAATCAGACATTTTCTTCTGTTTGTAATCAAAATGATACACAGTAACAAAATTAGGAATCGCAGAACTCTGTTGACAACAAAGTCATATAATACCAACTTTTGGGGGAAATGTTAGTATGTCATGTTAATATGGACTTGTTTTTGTTGTTTTGTTTTTGTTTTTTCATTATTTATTTATACAATTTTAGGGGGTGGGGGTAAATTGAGCTTATTTTCTCTACATTATCAGTTTATAGCATTGTTTATGGGTGGTGAGGTGGGAGTCAATTTGTAGCTTTCATGGTTGTGTTGAGCTTATTTCATCTACATTAGTTTATCAGTTTATGGTATTGTTTATGGGTGGTGAGGTGGGAGTCAGTTTACAACTTTCATGGCTGTTTTGTTTATTTTATCTACGTTAGTTTAATGTTTATTAAAGTGCATGTAATGGTTATGCATATTTCAGACAAGGAGGAGATAGAGGAAGTATGGAAACAAAGTTGGGTAACTCTCGAGATGACTATGAAAATATTACCTAATTCTGCATTAGGATTGAATCTCAAAGATGTAAGCTTACTTTATTTTCAGCTTGTTTGTTCTGAGAAAAAGTTGAGCAATTATGATCATGCTAAAACTCTAATGTAGCATATTATTCAAATGTTTTTAAATGTTCAACATGAACTTTTATGTATTTGTTTATGTTATAAGACAAGGGATGTTATTCTGAATGCTATATTTTGCAGTTATGCCCCTTTAAACATGGGATTCTTGTCATGCTGATTCATGCTGTACCTGTGGATGTGAATTTGATTTCAAGAACTTTTTAGCTCAACTATTCGATAAGAATAAGTAGAGCTATTGCAGTCACCCGAGCGTCGGCGTCCGCGTCGGCGTAACCACTTATGTTAAAGTTTTTGTAATAGTTCAAATATTTTCAAAGTCCATTGACATATGGCTTTGAAACTTTGCACACTTGTTCACCATCATGACCCCAACCTGTAGACAGGAGGAGGTAACTCTATCAAGCATTTTGACAGAATTATGCCCCTTTTTCGACTTAGAATTTACGTTAAAGTTTTTGTAATAGTTCAAATATTTTCAAAGTCCATAGACATATGGCTTTGAAACTTTGCACACTTGTTCACCATCATGACTCCAACATGTAGACAGGAGGAGGTAACTCTATCAAGCATTTTGACGGAATTATGCCCCTTTTTCGACTTAGAATTTATGTTAAAGTTTTTGTAATAGTTCAAATATTTTCAAAGTCCATTGACATATGGCTTTGAAACTTTGCACACTTGTTCAACATCATGACCCCAACCTGTAAACAGGAGGAGGTAACTCTATCAAGCATTTTGACAGAATTATGCCCCTTTTTCGACTTTCGAGGAGGTAACTGTATCAAGCATTTTTTTTACTATCAAGCACTAAGAATAGTCGAGCGTTGCTGTCCTACCGACAGCTCTTGTTTCTTTTGTGAATACCAACAAGCTTTTACTCTCTTTCATCCACCAATTTACCTGAGACACCTAACAAATAAACAATTATTTAATACATTTTACTCCAATGCGAAAGAAGTCTGATATTGTTACATTTTGATCTTTAAATTTATTGTGTTTACCTTTGTTTATTTTTACAGCAATTATCAGGAGATAAAACAGAGAAAAAGCGGGTAGTAGTGGATAGTATAATATTAGATAGTCCTGCAGCTGAAGCTGGGTTACAAAGAGTAAGTAATAGTTGGTGGATAATTTATTTAAAAATAATTTGTTTAAAGACTTATTCTTAACAACATAAGTAAGTAGTAGTGGAAAATTAAGAGGTAGCTAACTCATATTAATCTGTCAATGAGAGACTAAGAGTAGCAGCTGATATTTTTCACTAATTAGAAAAAAATCTGTAAAAATGACTTCAAACAGAATTGTTGGAAAATTTTATCTCATATGAGTATATCTCAAACACCACATGTAATACAGCTCATTTTACATGTTCATGATAATCACTTTTCTGTACATAAACGACAATGAAAATGTTCATTAGGGCAAAAATGTTTTGAATTTTGAGTGTTATATTGTCCAAGGAGTTGAAATATATTTATAATTTTTATGCTCCAAAGTGTCAAATCTAATGTATAACATATCTTGTTCCATGAGGTCATTGTTTACTATTTACTGTTGTTTGATACCCTCCTCCAAAGGGTGACTAGTTCCATTGGGATTTTACCAAGGCTTATACCAAACTGAACCAGTCACACTCACGTTGGAATTTCACAATCTTCTGCCTTACCCAATAATAGATTCTATAAGCCCTAAATCGGGCTAATTCTTGTTAATAATTTTACTAGGGCAAACAAGTTTTTATGGATAATATGATATTTTAAGTCCATACTTAAAACAGATAATTATGTAGAAATATATGCATTGTAAGTTGACCTCAGTGAAATGATTTCTTTGTAATTTAGCATCATTTCTAATCAATAAACATTTTCTATCTATAGAGGAAAAAAACGGAATATTTATGTTTAATTTTACAGGGAGACATTGTAGAAACTATTGGCAATGTGAGAGTTCTGTCCATTAAACATGCCATGAAACAACTGAAAAATTCTACAGAAAAGTGAGTATAAATCATGTACACAGATTCATTGTCATAAAAGTTAAAAAGCTCTATACAATCAGATATATGACATGTAAATGGTTATCTTGTTCTTTGAAACATGTAATTACTTTGCCGTAGTAAATTTGAGAGATAGCATGAATCATTGAATGTTGAATTTTTTGTGTTTTCTTAATTGTTTAATATCTGAAACAATAGTACTTATATATGTTTTGAGGAAGTTCATATTGGCCCTGCATTTGTACTGAAAATGCACCAAATATTGTATCGTTAACTTAGTCAATTAAAGGTGTTGTTTTCATATTGTTGCATTGTATACATATTATGATAAAGATCTATTAATACTTTCAGTGTTATCATTCGAGTTAAAAGACATAGTAGTCTAGCATTAGATCGAGGCCTTTACATTGTTCAGCAAGATGATATAGAGGTAACATAGATATATTATAACTGGTTTTGTTACATACAAATATTGTAACTTTTTCTGTAACAAAAAATTATTATAAATTGTTTTGTAATATACACATACACATGCCCCTTTTCAGGAGTCTGTCTGCTTGGCTAAATAGTGAAGGTAATTGTTATTAATCCTGGGATGGCTGGTTCAAAGGCAAGGTGGATTTTCATCATGACATTTGTACATTGAATCTAATGTTCATTTGTCTCTCACTGCTGATTAAAAAATCACGAGGGATAAGAAGTTTGGTTTTTTGTAGTGAATTGCTTATTAATTGTTTGTTAAATAGGAATATTTGCAAGGTTGGCGGCTGCTGAAATATGACGATAAATTGATTAAAATTGGCATTAAAAAAAACACACTAAATAGCCACTTTACAGACTCCATTAAAATGGTATGGTTTGACTGTGCATACAGTTGACTCTCAATAAGTCAAAATCGCTTTACTCAAAATTCCGCCTTAGTCGAATAATTTCTAAAGTCCCGTCAAATTTCCTTCTTTATCTTTGTATTTTTACTCCGCTTAGGTCAAATTTTGACTTACCGAGACTCCTGTTTAGTCGGAAAAAAAATTTGGTCCCTTCAATTAAAGTACAACATATTTTCATCTCAATTAGTCGAAGTGTGAAAACAGCCGACTGATCAAAGGTCGGCGACATCAAGGTGAGATGTTGTCACTTGTGATTTACATGTTTTATAGTAATTTTTAATTGCCGGTCATCATGTATTATTAACACGTCGTAAAAGTGGCTTTAATCCGTTTCAGGACTTAATTGGTTCTAACAGTTAGTTAACTAAATTAAAATTTAATAACATTGCTTTAAGAAAGTTGACTCGTGCCAGTCTGACGGGTGTTGGTCAAATAAAAGCCTAGGTATTGATGTGTGTTATCAACGTAAATAACATTTGTATAATTATTGTTACGTCATATTGCATACATTATTTTGTACTTCCGGTTCACGATTGTTGCTAATTTCATTTTCGTCAGATGATCAAATAAATCAAATATAATTGTGTGTTTATGTTTCACTATTAATATACATGTATTAAATTTTGAATGATATATTTTTGTTCATTTATAATTTGTAGTTGTAAGTTATTTACCGTCATTTCAATGGTCAAATATTGCAGCATTGCCGCTAACAACAAAAACAACCTACTTCTTTACACATTCAATCAGGCACATGTATATACATGTACGAATGTCAACGTAATGGCGGTAGTTTCACATTACTCGAATTCCGTTTCTCTCGAAGTAAAATGCCCAGTCCCTTGGATTTCGAGTTACCGAGAGTCAACTGTATATACTGATGTAATGTCATGCATTTAATAAATGCACTTGTTCAATTGATTTTATATTGTGCTACTCGTACAATATCCTCTATATATCACATTTAAATACTTTGCTAAGTTTTAAAGGTAAAGGTTTTTAGGGGTTATCTTTTAATAAATGAAGCATCATCAGAATATTTGTTTCCTTTGTAGAGAATAAAAATTGTAGAAATGATGGTGAAATAAGTTCTATTAATATGATACAGGAAAAAGTATATTTTACTGGTTGAGGTGTGAAATTAGGGATGCATATTTAACTCAAGGTTTGCAAAATACATGCATATAGTTTATATATACAGTCTACTCCACTTATAACGAGATCGGTTTTAACGAGATACCGCTTACAACGTACATTCTACTGTGTCCCGGCCTTTTTCCTTCTATTTTCCTTTCATTTTTTATCGTTTATAACGAGATCGGTTTTAGCGAGATATCGGTTACAACGTACATAATTTCGCCGTCCCATGCGTATTTTACAGAATTTTAACGAGGTCACTTCTTCTGCACTTCGTCTGCATCAGTTTGTCACCTTGGGAAAACAATGATGATCAATAATAATGGTCAATTAAGGAAGAAATTATTGACGCGGGACGAGATAATGGGTCGAGCAATTAGCGATCAAATGTGTCAGCCTTGTTTTGTCAGAGCTCCGTGCTAAATTGTCCTTAAGGTGACGAAATGTCATAACAAAACAATTTCATTGAGTGATTTGCACAAGCGGCTAATTTCTTGCGGTGTTATTCGGTGTTTGTGAGAAATGCACTGCGTGACTTTTCAAAACGAATTTTAAAATGTTCTTATATATTAATGAAAAAACACACGCGGTTAGACGTAGGTGTGTTTTCATGTTTTGTTTAAATTCTATGATAGCTAGATATATTTATATACATGTATATTTAAATAAAACAAAACGTCTGATTGCAAAGAGTTACCTCTGCAAAAAGGATGCACGCGAAAGCGAAAGTAGAAATAAATAATGCTCGACGGTGTCAGATTTCTCAATTTGTTCTGTCCCGGTTATAACGAGATACGGTTATAACGAGGAATCATCCGAAGTCCCGACGATCTCGTTGTATCCGGAGTGCACTGTATATCAGACTGCTAAGTTGTAGAAAATAAAGTGTGATATTTTGGTCATTATATGATTATCAGATTGAAGAGTCTGACATGAATGGAGAACTACAAGATGATATAGGAGACTTTGTTAGCATAGACTTCAAAAATAAACGTTCTTCCTCCCTCAACACTGACATACAACCCAGCCAACCTAACCAAGAATCTGTGAAATTCAGTGAAAAGTTAACAAAGAAAATACAGTCGGGGAAGAAGAAAATTCTTGGTTTGAAAGATAATGATAAAGATAAGGAGAGTGTTAATAAAGATAGGGACAGTGATACCAAATCAATTACAACTGAAGAAGAATCAGCAGGGGATAAAAGTAAGCAAACAACATAAGTATATTGACACATTTAGAGTATTTTTATTATATGTAGCATAAATTTAAACAAGTTATAAAAGATTGAAAAATCGGAAATGCTTTTATACTTATGCTATATTTGTATTTCGTATCTCGTTATTAGTAGTAGAATCTTCAGTAATTATGTAACTTCCAGAAAATGTTCTGAGAAACATCAAATGTACCCTAAAAGGATGATGAGTTTCTTTCAGATATTTTAAGGTTTTGGCCTTTCTTATTTAACTAATGGTTGTAGTGTTTCCAAATAGACAGATTAAATATTTCACATGAAGATGATACTGATGACTCTTACATCGTTGGATACCCACAGTTGATTAACATGTAACATAACATTTATGGTTCAGCCGGGGTATCCGACGATGGAATCTTACAGCTGGTATTAAAGTTGTCAACCTGGCAAAATATTTTCAGTTTCATAAATCCAATAGAATTATTGAACAAGTTTAGTGGAGTCAAATATTTTATTGGCAAAAACATATTCATTGCCAAGTAATATTTTAGCAGTTTAATACAAAGTACAGAAAAGTATGATACATTATGAATTATACAAACGTATTTTTAAGTGTACAAAATTTCAAAAAATGTATTAAGTAGATTCAATTTTTAGTTGCGTTGCTGAATTCATAAAATTATGTTATATTTTATGTATAGATGTAAGTGAGAGTATATCTACACCAAATCATCTTCGTGATGGAAGTCAGTCTGCTAAATCGTCGCCACAGAAACAGGTTATAGAAATAAATCGACAACGAGCTCACAGTGATACAAGTCTAAATAAGGTCAGTGTTTAGTTCATGTCAGTTAAATAATAGAAACAATTTTTTTGTGAAATATTTTTATATTACTGGTTATTTATGTTAAAAGCTGTGAAAAAATGTCTATATCTGTTGCTTTTGGCGCCAAGGTTTAACATGCAAGTATGTTTTTTATGATTAGTGAAAGATACAATTTCTTTTGTGAAGAGGGATGAGGAGGGGAGGCCGGGTTTTGGGTTTTGGAGAGGAAATCAATAACAAGAGGCAGTATATCAGGATAGCAAGATATTTAAATAATCATAGTACAATGTGTGCTTAATACCTTCCGAGCCATATCGTTTCTGTATCCATTTCACCAATTAAAACAAATGCTTTTTGATCATCTTTTATTTTGCAGCTTTTAAACATTATCTTTACCAATTTGATTATATATATATTATAACTGACATACTAGGTACAGCTAGGTGATGGTGATACTGGTAGTGCATGTAGTGATGCTGGTAGTTATAGTAAACCTGAATTACAACATCGTATAGGTGAAGTTAATACAAGAGATGTTCCTTTCTCACCAGTAAGTCTTAAATATATACATTGAGGATCATTTGAAATAATATATTTTAGAAAGTTGCCATATTACCTATACTGTGTCGGTGCAATGTATAACCCGATCAAAACAAGTAAAAAAAAATCTTATGCAGGAAATACTTGATAAACACATATAAGAACATTTTTAATACAAGAAATTTATTTTTTTCATTTTGATTTAGAATTCTGTGATTGAGAAAATAAGAGAAAGTTGATGTCTTCAACTCTTGCTTGTCAAGTTGGCTTATTTATGCTGTTATTTTGTACAATGTTTGTGCATAAACAGCATAGATATGGCTGTTTGGAGTTATTTTTGTGACAGAAATCTTTTGAGATATTTATTTGTTTATTTATATTTTTATTTAAGGATCCAGAATGGAATGAAGAGTTTGAATTTGACTGTAAAGAGGAAGATCAGTATGTGAATGTATGTGTATGGTGTAAGATTGCCCAGACAGAGAGGGCATCTAAGAATATGTCTACCACGAACAAGACTGAAGGTCAGCAGCAAAAAAATACCCCACCCACCGATGATCTCCCATCATATAATGTTACCACTAAAATAGGATATGTAAGTGTTATTTTAATAATCTGAGATCTACTTATAGAAAATGTCCACTTATGGTGGTGGTGGTAGTTGTTGTCACTCTGGATCACGGCAGTAGGCCACATTGAATTTACCGGAGCACAGTTCAGCCACCGCATCATTCCTGGGCAGGATGTCAAACAATTTATCAGTACTAGTTGCCTTCACTTTTGCAAGGAACTGATTACTTCTGTACATGCATGCACAAGCAGACGTACAGTGTAAATGACCGTAGAAAGGATTTCATGATCAATCACAATGAAAGTGACCTGCATCGTCCTGGAATCGAACTCGGGTCACCTGATTCACAGTCCCAATGCTCTACTTATTGAGCTAACAGGATGGCTCAATGTCAACTGATGATGTTTTTATCACATTATATACAGAAAAAGTTTTATGATAGACTGCTTTAACTAATTATATGTTAGTCTACTGTAGATTATTGTAGATTATTATCAGCAAATATTTCACAAAAAAGTAACATTAGGTCTGTCTTTTAATTATGTATGTTAAAATTTTTTTTTTTATTTCTTTTTTTTATTTTTTTATAATGTAACATCATTGAGGAGCCACTTCTCACATGTTATAGATCTAGAAAAGTTTCATCAGAAATTCTGCACCATTTAAAAAAATTCAGTATTTTTAAGAAAAGACTGATAGACATTTAATTTATCTGGTATGGTTCATTATAAACTAGAGAAACCAGGCCCCGCATGTTCAACTAAGATTCAAAGGATCAAAATGTGGAATCAGACAATTTAAAACTCGCATACTCTCCATTTTGTTTTATTCCTTTGCATTAATATTAAGTATTATGATGACTTGATATTAAAAGTTTTGTTTTTTGTGGGTTTTTAAATTTTTTTTTATTAAATGTATTGTTAATTTTACAAGATACATGATATGTGCATTTTAAAGTTGATCAAAATATTGATTTTGAACCTAAAATTGTTTCTTGTTTTCCAATTATTTTTCTATTTGTACTGTTATTTGTCCATTTTATCCCAAATCAAGGTTGTTTCCACACAAATACTAGTGGGCAATTTTTTTTTAATATTTGTTTATGTACCATTTAATTTAGCATAATACAATTAATTTTGGTTGTATAAAGCAATGAAAATAAAATCAGGATCATTTTATTCTCATCCAGATTTTTCCTAGTGGCCTGGTTGTTGTCTTTTACAGTTTGTCTTTTACAAATGAATAATATAACATTTTTTCTAGGTGAGTGTTCCTCTGTCAGATATTACAGCTGGCTGTTTATTAACAATACAAGGTGACACTCAGTATACCATGTATCTACATCCACCGGAAGAAACTATCACTGCAAGGTTATATATTTATTATCTCATATTGTAAAAAATGCAATGCAAAAAATAGAGAAAATAAGAATCCTAAAGAATGTCCAAATGAAAATGTTGCAGGCTCGGTTTGATTAAGCCTGTTCATGGATGGTACTGGCAAGTGCAAACCAACTTCCACACCCCTTAGCAAGTCATACTACTATTCAAAATTTTATAGTTACAAACTGACTGTTTAAAAATTAAAGAATTAATATGAAAATACAGGTTATAAAAATGGTCGGTTTTGTATCATTTACAAAATATATGTAATATATGATGGCTAGATAGTTGGTTGATATTAACGCTAATGAAAATTTTGGCAATTTTTGTCAATTAGCGAAATTCACCAATATTTCCATATTGCTAACTTGACCACTTATACAGTAGTCTGTCTTCTTAAATAGCTTATTTTATTGATTTTTTTAGATATGTTGACACAATAAATATACAAGATTTAAAATTAACCATTATTGGTTGTGAGGTATAATAAAGGGGGCCTGATAGAACAGCGGACTGTTGATTTGTAGGTCCTGGATCTATTCCCTTATCTGACTGCTTATTTCTCTCATACTGTCAGTTAGATAATATCACTTAAAAACTTTTTACCTTTCAATGAACAGTATTATTGTTGTAAAGAGGGACTCACACAATATTTCTTTATTTCAGTCGTACAAAGTTACCGTATTCCGGGCATATAGGATATGACAAGAGTATCTGCCATGGTGATATTACATTGTCATTTGTACACAAACCATTCAAGACTGTAGAACCAAATGTTAGAAAAGAGACAGTCAAAGATGTGTTGAATCCACCTATTCATAAGCTGAGAGCTCAGTCGTTAGAAAGAGAGTAAGTTTATTTCTAAACCTTTGTAATTTTTGGCTTAATTATTATGAAGTTTTTTATTGCTTTGTTTCATGTCTGTAAGATGTATGTTAGTTAAAACATTCTCTTTTTTTCAATGATAAGGCATAAATTTGGAAGAAATTTGGTTTGTCATCATGAATATGATATATATGTCACATTACTGTGATAATATATCCAAATTTTCACTTGTGCTACATGCTCAGGAAAATAATGTAATTTTCTCACTTCTCAGATATATTTTATATTCACTTAAAAGAAACAGATATCCTGTATTTGTGCACATCTTAAGAACATGTAAATACTGGTATAGAATTAAAGAAAACTTTTGAAATCATTTGAGAACTTCATCGAATTTTATGACTTATTATATACATGCAAAAAGTAGGCTTGCAATTTAACAAGCAAGTTTGTTTCTTTTTTGGGTTTTCAGACAGTTAGATGGGCAACATAGATTCAGATCATGTCAGTTTACCTCTAAAACTATTTGTCATTTCTGTGGCAAAAAGGTATGATTGTCAATTGAAGTACTCTTATATTTTTTCATATTATGTCCCGTATTGGCTTGAATATTCAAAGAAAAGGGAGAGCTATTGTACTCACCCAGGTGTCGGCATCATACTTTGGTTACATTTGAGCCGCGTCATGACAAAACCAACATAATGGGTTTGCGACCAGCATGGATCCAGCCAGCCTGAGCATCCGCGCAGTCTGATCAGGATCCATGCTGTTCGCTTACCAACCCTATTACAAGTGGAGAAACTGATAGCGAACAGCATGGATCCTGATCAGACTGCATGGATGCGCAGTCTGGTCTGGATCCATGCTGGTCGCAAACGCGCTATGTTGGTTTTGTTGTGACGAGGCTCAAATTTTGTGCAACAAATTGGTATCTCCAAAGCGACTGAAGGGAATGGGTTTAAACTAAACTAACTTATTGTAGAGATAGAATTATAACACTTTTTGAACTTTCATTGAACTATATTTTCCAGGCTCTTTATTTACTATCAAGCACTGAAAATCATTGAGCACACTGTCCTACTGACAACTCTTGTTTTCAATGTTTCAATTATGACAATTATTTTGATAATAGTTGGTTTTATTTTTCATATGCTTAAATAAAATAACTTTAAAAATATGATTTCTTTTAACTTTTGGGATTGTTTATGCTCAATAATGATATAAAAGGGTGAAGCTTGTGTGAAATCTTAAAATGCACCACCATAGATAAAGTAAAGGGGGTGATGTCATTTATCTATATAGATTGTAATTCAAAAAACCTTTTTCAAACCAGTCAGAAATTATACATTAAAAAAATCATGTACATTTATAGTATAATTTACTCCTATTATCTATGGAGGGGATTGTAATTAACTTGTTAAATTATTATAACATTAAATACAATAGGGAAAAAAATATTTAAATTTAATTTAATCAGTGATGTGGGCAAGTCATAATCATGGGGAAAATTTCATTGCCAAGATTATATTCTCATTGGTGTTGTTTAAATATTAAAATGCTGTTTGTAATTAATTTCCTATAAATCATAAAGTCAAAATATAATGTTGTTACTTATATTATTTTGTTAAGAATTGTATTTATATGTTTTAGATATGGTTGAAAGGAGGTTTAAAATGTACCTTGTGTAGAATGGTGTGTCATAAAAAATGTGTGGAGAAATGTAATATACAGACTAAATGCTCAAGGTAAACAAAAAGTTTTGATTATAATTCATCCGGTGTTGATGATCATATCGTTTAGTCTTTTGCTAGTGTTTACACATCTGCTGTAAACTTCCTTTTAATTCTTTAACAAGAAAACAAACAAAATAAAATGGAACAGACTGTTCATGACAAAACATGGCATTCCCTTCTTCTTCATGGGTGTGTTTTACCACAGAGAACAATATTGATTTTGTTGCATTCAAGATTCTCACATCGAATGTAGAGGTAACTACCAAGCCCTTTCTTCTGTAGATCTGCAATAACTGTTTTTAGTTTTTTGTGATAGCTTTTTGGCCGGCTTCCGTCCATCCGTAAACTTTTACTCTAAACGACATCTCCTCATAAATGGCCGAGCCAATTTCATCCAAACTTCACAGGGATGTTCCTTTGGTAGTGAACTTTAAAAATTGAACAAAGATTTTAATTCCATGCAGAACTCTGGTTGCCATGGCAACCGAAAGAAAAAACTTAAAAAATTTCTTAAAAAAAAACCGAAAGAGCTAGACCTAAAATATTTGGCATGAAACATAATCTACTCAGAGTCTACCAATTTTATTCAAATAATAGCCATGGAGTCACAGTTGGCCCCACGCCGGGGGGTCATTGATTTTCCTTATTTTGTATATAATAAAAATCTTCTTTTAAAAAATTCAAATAGCTATAGCTTAGATTTTTGGCATGAAACATCTTCTGGTGGGTGTCAAATAAAAGCCCTGGGGGTCATTGTTTTCTCTATATGTATATAGTGAAAACTTAAAAAATCTTCTTTTAAAAAACCCAAATAGCTAGAGCTTAGATATTAAGCATGAAATATCTGCTAGTGGGTGTCTACCAAGTTTGTTCAAATAAAAGCCCTTGGATCAAAATTGGCCCTGCCCCAGAGGGTCATTGGTTTTCCCTTAATGTATATAGTAAAAACTTAAAAAATCTTCTTTTAAAAATAATTCAAAAAGCTAAAGCTTAGATATTAAGCATAAAACATCTTCTGGTGGGTGTCTACTAAGTTTGTTCAAATAAAAGCCCTGGGTCAAAACTGGCCCCGCCCCAGCGGGTCATTGTTTTCCCTATATGTATATAATGAAATAATAAAAAATCTTCTTTAAAAAAACCCAAAGAGCTAGAGCTAAGATATTTAGCATGAAACATCTAATGGG